TTCTGAAAAGAGAATTTTATTTCGATTTTTTAATTTTTTTTTTTAAAGAGTAGCACCCCTCATCCCGGAACCTACCCATCCTGCAGACATTGACATTGGTAAACAAAATACATTAAAAATTTCTTTTTTTCAAATTTAAGAATTCTAATCATCTGAAAATCACCTGAGTTCTAGTAGGGACTGGGCCCTACCCAATCCTGATAAATACAGAATTTTATTTCAATTTTAAGTAGTAGCAGGTCCACCCGTACACTATCAGACAATCGAAATTTGGTAAAAAATACATTAAAAATTCTTTTTTCAAATTTAAGAATTCTAATCATCTGAAAATCACCTGAGTTCTAGTAGGGACTGGGCCCTACCCAATCGTGATAAATACAGAATTTTATTTCAATTTTTAAGTAGTAGCAGGTCCACCCGTACACTATCAGACAATCGAAATTTGGTAAAAAATACATTAAAAATTTCTTTTTTTCAAATTTAAGAATTCTAATCATCTGAAAATCACATGAGTTCTAGTAGGGACTGGGCCCTACCCAATCCTGACGAAAAGAGAATTTTATTTCAATTTTTAAGTAGTAGCAGGTCCACCCGTACGCTATCAGACAATCGAAATTTGGTAAAAAATACATTAAAAATTTCTTTTTTTCAAATTTAAGAATTCTAATCATCTGAAAATCACCTGAGTTCTAGTAGGGACTGGGCCCTACCCAATCCTGATAAATACAGAATTTTATTTCAATTTTTAAGTAGTAGCACCCCCACCCGAACGCCATCAGACAATCGAAATTTGGTAAAAAATACATTAAAAATTTCTTTTTTCAAATTTAAGAATTCTAATCATCTGAAAATCACCTGAGTTCTAGTAGGGACTGGGCCCTACCCAATCCTGGTAAATACAGAATTTTATTTCAATTTTTAAGTAGTAGCACCCCCACCCGAACGCCATCAGACAATCGAAATTTGGTAAAAAATATATTAAAAATTTCTTTTTTTCAAATTTAAGAATTCTAATCATCTGAAAATCACCTGAGTTCTAGTAGGGACTGGGCCCTACCCAATCCTGATAAATACAGAATTTTATTTCAATTTTTAAGTAGTAGCAGGTCCACCCGTACGCTATCAGACAATCGAAATTTGGTAAAAAATACATTAAAAATTTCTTTTTTTCAAATTTAAGAATTCTAATCATCTGAAAATCACCTGAGTTCTAGTAGGGACTGGGCCCTACCCAATCCTGATAAATACAGAATTTTATTTCAATTTTTAAGTAGTAGCAGGTCCACCCGAACGCCATCAGACAATCGAAATTTGGTAAAAAATGCATTAAAATTTCTTTTTTTCAAATTTAAGAATTCTAATCTTCTGAAAATCACCTGAGTTCTAGTAGGGACTGGGCCCTACCCAATCCTGACGAAAAGAGAATTTTATTTCAATTTTTAAGTAGTAATAGGTCCACCCGTACGCTATCAGACAATCGAAATTTGGTAAAAAATACATTAAAAATTTCTTTTTTTCAAATTTAAGAATTCTAATCATCTGAAAATCACCTGAGTTCTAGTAGGGACTGGGCCCTACCCAATCCTGATAAATACAGAATTTTATTTCAATTTTTAAGTAGTAGCACCCCCACCCGAACGCCATCAGACAATCGAAATTTGGTAAAAAATACATTAAAAATTTCTTTTTTCAAATTTAAGAATTCTAATCATCTGAAAATCACCTTAGTTCTAGTAGGGACTGGGCCCTACCCAATCCTGGTAAATACAGAATTTTATTTCAATTTTTAAGTAGTAGCACCCCCACCCGAACGCCATCAGACAATCGAAATTTGGTAAAAAATATATTAAAAATTTCTTTTTTTCAAATTTAAGAATTCTAATCATCTGAAAATCACCTGAGTTCTAGTAGGGACTGGGCCCTACCCAATCCTGATAAATACAGAATTTTATTTCAATTTTTAAGTAGTAGCACCCCCACCCGTGCGCTATCAGACAATTGAAATTTGGTAAAAAATACATTAAAAATTTCTTTTTTTCAAATTTAAGAATTCTAATCATCTGAAAATCACCTGAGTTCTAGTAGGGACTGGGCCCTACCCAATCCTGACGAAAAGAGAATTTTATTTCAATTTTTAAGTAGTAGCAGGTCCACCCGTACACTATCAGACAATCGAAATTTGGTAAAAAATACATTAAAAATTTCTTTTTTTCAAATTTAAGAATTCTAATCATCTGAAAATCACATGAGTTCTAGTAGGGACTGGGCCCTACCCAATCCTGACGAAAAGAGAATTTTATTTCAATTTTTAAGTAGTAGCAGGTCCACCCGTACGCTATCAGACAATCGAAATTTGGTAAAAAATACATTAAAAATTTCTTTTTTTCAAATTTAAGAATTCTAATCATCTGAAAATCACCTGAGTTCTAGTAGGGACTGGGCCCTACCCAATCCTGACGAAAAGAGAATTTTATTTCAATTTTTAAGCAGTAGCACCCTCACCCGTACGCCATCAGACAATTGAAATTTGGTAAAAAATACATTAAAAATTTCTTTTTTTCAAATTTAAGAATTCTAATAATCTGAAAACCACCTGAGTTCTAGTAGGGACTGGGCCCTACCCAATCCTGATAAATACAGAATTTTATTTCAATTTTTAAGTAGTAGCACCCCCACCCGAACGCCATCAGACAATCGAAATTTGGTAAAAAATAAATTAAAAATTTCTTTTTTTCAAATTTAAGAATTCTAATCATCTGAAAATCACCTGAGTTCTAGTAGGGTCTGGGCCCTACCCAATCCTGACGAAAAGAGAATTTTATTTCAATTTTTAAGTAGTAGCAGGTCCACCCGTACGCTATCAGACATTCGAAATTTGGTAAAAAATACATTAAAAATTTATTTTTTTCAAATTTAAGAATTCTAATCACCTGAAAATCACCTGATTTCTAGTAGGGACTGGGCCCTACCCAATCCTGACGAAAAGAGAATTTTATTTCAATTTTTATGTAGTAGCAGGTCCACCCGTACGCTATCAGACAATCGAAATTTGGTAAAAAATACATTAAAAATTTCTTTTTTTCAAATTTAAGAATTCTAATCATCTGAAAATCACCTGAGTTCTAGTAGGAACTGGGCCCTACCCAATCCTGATAAATACAGAATTTTATTTCAATTTTTAAGTAGTAGCACCCCCACCCGAACGCCATCAGACAATCGAAATTTGGTAAAAAATACATTAAAAATTTCTTTTTTTCAAATTTAAGAATTCTAATCATCTGAAAATCACCTGAGTTCTAGTAGGGACTGGGCCCTACCCAATCCTGATAAATACAGAATTTTATTTCAATTTTTAAGTAGTAGCAGGTCCACCCGTACGCTATCAGACATTCGAAATTTGGTAAAAAATACATTAAAAATTTCTTTTTTTCAAATTTAAGAATTCTAATCATCTGAAAATCACCTGAGTTCTAGTAGGGACTGGGCCCTACCCAATCCTGACGAAAAGAGAATTTTATTTCAATTTTTAAGTAGTAGCACCCCCACCCGAACGCCATCAGACAATCGAAATTTGGTAAAAAATACATTAAAAATTTCTTTTTTTCAAATTTAAGAATTCTAATCATCTGAAAATCACCTGAGTTCTAGTAGGGACTGGGCCCTACCCAATCCTGATAAATACAGAATTTTATTTCAATTTTTAAGTAGTAGCAGGTCCACCCCTACGCTATCAGACAATCGAAATTTGGTAAAAAATACATTAAAAATTTCTTTTTTTCAAATTTAAGAATTCTAATCATCTGAAAATCACCTGAGTTCTAGTAGGGACTGGGCCCTACCCAATTCTGATAAATACAGAATTTTATTTCAATTTTTAAGTAGTAGCAGGTCCACCCGTACGCTATCAGACAATCGAAATTTGGTAAAAAATACATTAAAAATTCCTTTTTTTCAAATTTAAGAATTCTAATCTTCTGAAAATCACCTGAGTTCTAGTAGGGACTGGGCCCTACCCAATCCTGACGAAAAGAGAATTTTATTTCAATTTTTAAGCAGTAGCACCCTCACCCGTACGCCATCAGACAATTGAAATTTGGTAAAAAATACATTAAAAATTTCTTTTTTTCAAATTTAAGAATTCTAATCATCTGAAAATCACCTGAGTAATGGCAAATATAAAAGAATCCAAAAGGCATTGTGGCATTTCTTAATTACCACATTGCGTTGTGGCCGAATATTGTAGCAGCCACAAAGCGAATTTCGCGTTGTGGCCTTTTTCAAAGTACCACAACGCGTTTTGAGCACTTTTTGCCATGCCACAATACGAATTTCGCGTTGTGGACAATTTGAAGGAGCCACAACGCGTTGTGGACTATATTTTCGCTCAATGAGCGTTTTCGGTCTTTGAGCCTAACATATATAACATGAAGAAATCTTCCGTATTTTTAAATATTTTCGCTGGTTTGAGTCCTACTGAACTTATTTTATAACAATGAGCAGAATAGTTTTTTAGATTATAAATACAGCAGTTTCATATTTCAATTTTGTCAAATATATAATTATCAAAAAAACATATCTTAAGTTCTTTAGTATTTGAATTATAACAGAATAAATATTTGCTAATTTCGAAAATGATCAATTTTATGCATTATGGAATTCTAATTGATACATAAATTTCTAATGTATACTTAATCATTCGTTTAATAATTATCATGTGGGGTTGCAATGTACGTCTTAAATTTGTTTCTAATATAAAAGCAAATAAATAAAACCCATAAAATTATAGATATAACGGCAAAGAAAAATAAAATATTGTCCTAAAAGTACTTAATTCTTTACAGTTGATTATTAACCGCTTTCCATAGAAATGGATAAATTCTTTAAGATGTCGCACTTCAAGACTAATAGATTTTTATTATTTATCGTTGGTCTTTGGCCATTACAGAGAAATTTATTACAAGAAGTGCAATCTTTATTCACAATAATTTCAGCTTTCTGTATGATCTTTTTACACGTAAGTCAAAAATATTTATGTGCAAAATTTAACGTAACTTTAGCCAGATATTATAATTTTTTAATGTTATTTACAAGGGTTACAAAATCATTCTTTATAATACCAAATTCTTGAATAAAAAATAGTTTAATTAACAAACAAATATTAAAGAAATATATTTGTTGCAATATTTTTAAGATAGGAACTGTGATCGTGGCATCAAAAGAAGCAGACGTTGACATTGTTTTAGAAACATTTCCTAATGTTTTACACTGCATTGTAATTATTGGAAATGCAATTATATGGATAATTAAATTCAATAAAGTGAGTAGTTGTACCGCATTTAAAAAATTAAAAAAATTAATTTTTATCATAGAAATGTAAATTATCAATAAAACTACTTTTTGTTTTATTTTTAATTGAATTATTCAGATTAAAGATCTTTTGACACGTGTTCATTTTAATTGGAAATATTTTCTACCCGATGAAATATCAATATTGGAAAAATATGCCCATAAAAGTGAAAAACTTACTAAAATTTTTGCATGTGAGTAAAAATTTGTCAATAATAATTATATGTGACAAAAATTAATATTTTATTGTTTTCCTCGCATATTCTTTACAATTTCAAAAATGTTAAAAAGTCTAAAAATTTAAAAACAATAAATAATTATTGAAATTTTAATTTTTTTGGAAAACTTAATATTTCAGGGATTATTTTGGCACCAATTTTTCTAATCTTCTTATATACGACATTAAATAGTTTTACAAAATCGTTTTCACGAACAACAGGAACAACTATACACGTCGTTTTTAATGTAAAAAATTTCTTCAATATTGGAAATTATTATTACTCTCTTCTTACTGTGACATTTTTCGGAAGCTGTGTTGCTGTTTGTGCATCTTTCGCGGTAGACTCAGTAATGATCATTTTCCTTCAACATGCTTGTGGAATGTTCACAATATTAACGTACGAAAAAAATTCTCTATAATTCTATTAAATATATAAAAGCGTTTGCTGATTTTTCAGAAGCTCTCTAAATGAATTTCATTTTTAAAAAAATATTTGGTTAATAAAATTTAAAAAAAATATTATTCTCTTATCAAAAAGTTAATTTTAAGCCTATTTTACAGGCAACGTATGCAGAATATAACAGCGGAATATGCAAATTTTTATCAAACTAAGAAAACAGAAGAAAAAAATCGTCAAATTATTAATGAATGTCTAACATTACATAAAAGCATTATTGAGTAAGTTATTTTGTTAAAAAAATAATATTTAATGTCAAATATCTATTATTATATATTCAAATTCTATTTATACAGATTTTCAGATCTATTGAATTCAATCTTTTCATTAGGATTTCTATTAGCACTAACTCTATACACGGTGATTTTAAGTTTCGCATCATTTTGCGTAAGAAAATTATGTTTTCTGCAATACAAAGAAAATTCAGAGAAAGAATTATATTTACTAGGTATACTCTTTGAAATGAATTAAAAACTATTTAAAAAAATTTCAGGCACTTGAATATAGACATAAACCACCTATTATGATGAGATATGCGATGCTAGCTTTTGGCTCTATTTTACATCAATTCACTAAATTTTGGCAATGTCAAAGCTTAATTGATCACAGTGCAACATTTCGAACTGAAATGTGAGTAAAAAGAAACTACAAGCGTGTATCTACTTCTAAACTGTAATGTAATTTTAGATAATTATTAAAATAACGTTTGTTTCTTTAGATTAAAGAATTTTTGTTTTTTTTTTGGAGAATACTACTTTGTAGGAATTTTAATTTAATAATATTGATGATTTCAGATGTAATTCAAATTGGTATAACATTCCACCAAAAACAAGAACAATTTTATATATCATGTTAATGAGATCTGATAAGGTATGCAAGGTAACAGCAGGGAAATTCTTCGAAATGTCCTTTCATACATTCTCAAAGGTATATGAATATTATAATTATTAATATTTAACACTGACTTAAATCTTTAACTCTCGCTTTCAATTTTAAAGGCAAAATCGAGTTTTTATTGTAAATTTAAACTAAAATCGAAAATCAAAGTCTTTAAACTAATATGACAAAAAATGAAGTTAAATCTTTATCTGTAATGTTCTTTATAACTGAATACATAATTTTCTTTATAATAAATAGGTTCTTTTCTTCTTTTTCAGATTTTAAGTACAGCAGCTTCATATTTCACGGTTTTGACAACTTTAAAAGAATAAAAAAAAATATTGTATCTCATTTTTTTTTAATTTTGATAAATAATTAATTTTTACTCTACTTTTATTAATAATTAACTTGATATGTTATAATTATTATCAACGGGGGTAACTAAATAAAGCAAAAAATGCGACTTTTCTTTTTCATTTAAGAGTGAATTGTCATAACGTACTTGTTGACATAGAATAAATTCCTCAATATTCTCAAATACAGGAAACAAAATAAAAAAAAACATACCAAACCGATAATAATTTGTACAACAAATATTATTCATAATTGGAAAACATTAATGTCAAAAGAAGAATATCAAATTATTGTTTTATTAATTTCTAACGTATATTTAATCAATAGGATAAATAATATCAATGTATGGTCGCTATATTACCCTAAGTCTAATAAATTTGTTTCTAGTGATTGTAAATACACGTTTTCGTCAAAATTGTAAATAACAAGACAAAAGCAAAGACACGTAATAAAAAAATTTTCCCTAAAACAATATACATTGCAGTTGGCAATATATTTATAGTAACATTTATAATAATAAAAATATATAAAATAAATAATAAATAATAAGGTATTAATTGTTTTAGTCGATTGACAAAAATTTGATTCAGTATTTCCCTGACTGTTTCCTGAGCTCAATCAAAAATATTTATTTTTATTCTAATCCTGCTGAGAACTTTAATTATAAATTTTTGAAAAATTCAATTATTTTATAAATTTTTATCCTAAAAAAATTGTATTTTAAAGTAATTTTTAAAAGTAAACAAATTTAAATTGTTTACAGGAAATAAGAAAATAAATTAACAATTTTTCGAAGTAAAAATTTAAATGTTATTAGAGTTTAACAACAATAAAAATTTCAACGATTTCAATTTAATTTCGATTTTCAATATAATAATCTTTTAAAATTTAGTTATTTTTAAACAAAATTTTACTATAACGCTTTTAATATTTAATTATTATCTAAGATTTCAACTGAAATTCGTTTTTAAATCGATTCTTATTAGAAAGAAGTTCAGCTGAAATTAAATGTTTCTCAAAATTTAATTCTTATAAAGAATTTATCAATTTTTTAAAAAAATAATTTAATTTCTGAGAAGAAATTTATTATTTATGAAAATAATTTAATTCTTGCAAAGAATTTAATTTTTTTTAAATAATTAAATTCTCGTGAAAAATTTTATTATTTGGAAAAGTAATTGAATAATTGTGAGTAATGAAAGAAATAATTCAAGAATTTATAAATTTTTTTTTAAATAATTGAATTTCTGAGAAGAAATTTATTATTTATGAAAATAATGGAATTCTTGCGAAGAATTCAATTTTTTTAAATAATTAAATTCTCTTGAAAAATTGTATTATTTAGGAAAGTAATTGAATTTTTGAAAAGAATTTTATTTTTTATGAAGAAGATTGAATTTTTAGGAAGAACTTTATTAAAATTTTTGAAAATAATTGAAATCCTCCGAAGAATTTGTTTATTAATGAAAATAATTAAAATCTTCCAAAGAATTAAATCTTTTATGAAAATAATTGAAATCTTCAAAAGAATTTTATGTTTTTTCGAAGATAATCCGAGTCGAAGACTCGGAGTGATCCATTTCTTTATGTTTTATAATAATTATTAAAGATGACCGACTGACAAAATCATTATTTTATTATTATAAGAATATTGATACTGTAATTTCTTCAAAATTATTTCTATCATTTCAATTCAATTAAAATTTCCTAGAATTTTTAACTAAAGTTCCACTTTAAATCAATAACATTAATTATTATTCAATTAAACTTTTTCAAAAAAAATTAATTCTACAGAATTGTTAGTTAAAAGTACGAAAAATAATAATTTAATTCTACGAGAAATCAATTATTTAAATAAAAAAATAAATAATATTGAATGTTTCTTAAAATTTAATTTTTACGAAGAATTGTATTAATAACTTTTGAAAATATTTAATTTCTTTTAAGGAATTAAATTAAAATTTTAATAAAATTTATTACATTAAAGAATTTTAAAATTTTATAACAATTTTAGAAAATAATTGAAAACTTTTTGAAGAATTTTATTCAATTTTTTAAAAATAATTGAATTCCTGAGAAGAATTTAAATAATAATTTTTGAAAACAATTAAATTCATGAGAAGAATTTTATTAAAATTTTTTAATATAATTGACTTCTTGAGAAGAATTTTGAAAAAATTTTGACAATAATAATTTAATTCTTGAGAAGAATTTCCCTATCTTGTCAGAAATAGAAAATTTTTTTGAAGGTTTTGTATTAGAATTAGTGGCAGTTTCATAGAAATAGGGGACAGACTGTGAAGCCTGTGTTTGTCAAATATATTTAATTTTTAGCAAACAGATTTGTTAAATTTATTTTTTAAAATTACCTAAAGAGGGGTAAATATGGAACTTTGTTTTTTTAAATTTAATGAATTGTATTTCTTTTGTTCTTCTCCTCTTTTTTTATTCATTTTGGTATTTGTTTTAAAAAATAATTGTACGAAACTTTGAAATATCCCTACGAAAATTTTCACAACACTTTTTCAACAATTTTTTATTCTTTTACTTTTTATTATCTTATTATGCAGTATTTAATAAAAAAACATTCGTACTGTCTGCATTAAGAATATTAATTTAAATTTCTTGTCCAAAAATTATTTTTTGAATATTAAAACTTGGAGAATTTCATAAGTTTTGAGTGAAGAAGAATTTAAAACAGTTCCATAATTACCCCTCGGTTGACATTAACTTTGGTTTGGAATATAATATGTAATAAAAATCGTATTTTTCTTACAGATTTTGGGTGCTGCAAGTTCATACTTTACTTTTTTAATTAGTTTAAGATAATTATCTCCTACAATTTAAATAATTTAATTTGAAAAAATTTTCTTATATTGGATTTCTACTGAAGAAACTTTTCATCTTAAAGAAATTATAATTAAACCGAGTTTGTAATTTAGAAAAAAAAATTCATTGAACTATCGAATTCTTCAATGTTAGAATTTCTATATTAAAACTACTCGAAGAAAAATGTCTATAATTTCTCAATAATTGCATTAAATGTACACGATTAAAATAGTGTACGAGGGAAAAATTAATTTATAGATGAAAATTATATTCATTTATTTTGATATATTAAATGTGTCAGTGGTTCTATTTCTTTCCATTCATCTTAATGATAGAAAAACTGTTTTTGATGCAAGTACAAATAAAACAAATTATTTATTTACATTGACGTGTACAAACATCGACGGAACCAAAACAGAAAAAAAGAGGGAAAAAAAACAAAATCATAAGTTAAACAGTTCGTCAAGGTATAAAACGTAATTTTTTTTAACTATCTGTGTTCAAAAAAAAATTGTGAAAAAAATGGATAGCTTCTTTAAAATGTCTGAATTTAAAACCAACAGGTTTTTACTAATTTTAATTGGTCTTTGGCCGTTTAAAATCAATTTTATTCAAAAGGTGTTGTTTTTATTTTTCATCTTTTGTGTTTTTTGTCAGGTGTTCTTACAGGTATGTTTTATCATTTTAAAATAAAAAACGAAAAAATTACCGCTCCTCATTTTTTTTTTAAAAAGCACATTACAATCATAATTATATTAGAAGAAAATTATGTGTGCATTTTATTGTAAATAATATTCGGAACCTAATATTTAATTCTACAAGAAATGCAAATTTGAATTTGAATTATAAAATTTGTGGATTGTATTAAAATTAAATAATAATTTTTTTAATCCCTTATAATTTATTGAATTTTTAAAGACAGGAACTTTAATAGTGGCATCAAAGGAAGGAGACATTGATGTCGTTTTAGAAGCAATCTTAAATATTGTACTCGACTGCATAGCCGTTGCATATATTATATTGTGGATAATTCATTTCAACAAGGTGAGTAATAATAATTATAAATTTTAATAACAAGTTATTAATATCTATAAAATAATAATTAAATAATTTTTAAAAATTCAATTTTTCATTGCGATTAATAAATATTAACAAAATATTGCTACTATAATATTATTACTATTATTAATAATAATATTGTAATAATAAATAATATTAATCATGAAATTATTTAATTAGAGGAAAAATTATTTCTGACAATTTAAAAAAAATTATTCTCATAATTTTTCCCTCAATTTTCAATATTGTACTATTCTCGAAAATATAAAAGAAAACTTTAAATTTTATACCAAATTTAATGTAAATCACATTTTTCGACAATATAAATATTAAAAAAAAATTTTTCCAGATGAAACAAATTCTCAAAGATATTTATTCCGCGTGGCAAAATTTTTCACCTGATGAGAGAAAAATATTGAAAAAATATGCAATTAAAAGTCGAAAAATCACTGTAACTTATGCGTGTAAGTAAAAATAATTTTTATAAAAATTGTGTAGAAGAAAAGTTTTGTAAGTTATTAAAATTAATTTTCAAAAAATTATAATAAAGAAATTATATAATAAATAAATATATAATACTAATTAACAATTATTATTATTATTATTTTTATTTTCAGGGATTCTGTACGGAACAATGGGTCCATACATGATTTTTCTACTTTATCCAATTTTAACTAAGTCATTATCACGTAAAACGGCGACAACAATGCAATTTATTTTTCCAGTAAAAAATTTTTTCAATATTCAAAATTATTATTACTATCTTCTAGCAATGACATATTGTGGCACTATTTCCATAATCACAACATTTGTTGCTTTCGACACAATATTTGCTACTTTTATTCAACAAGCTTGTGGAATGTTCGCAATATTGATGTAAGAAGCAAAAAAGAAACAATTTTATCATTATTGTAAAATTATTATCTCTTTATTTATTTAGAAAAAAATTTATTTATAAATTTAGTTTAAATATTTTTATAGAAATTAAAACTAAATTTTATGTCATGAAAATTTATAATTAAAAATCTATTTATATTTAATTTAGGTAAATTTATTTTAATTAACATTTTTTAGTTTAATTTCTGTTTTTCTTTTATTTTTAAATTCAGGTATTTTCTATTTTTATATATTTGTATTTTAAATATAATTTATTAATTATTAGTATTATAATAATTTATAACAAATTATAATAATAATAATTATAACAAATTATTATAATTCTATTTAAAATAAAAATATATTTACATAGGTAAATATAAATTAATTGTATGTACTTAAAAATAATATTTTAAAAACAAAAATTACAACAATAAAAAATTTTAAGTATAATTAATACTTTATAGGCAACGTTTAGAAACCATAACAACTGTTGAAAATACCATCAATTCTAAGAGTGATGTTGATAAAAATAAAAATTGTAAAGTTGCAATTTCAAGTTTAAAGTTGCATCAAATTGTTATTGAGTGAGTTCTTTTTTCTGTTACATAAAAATTGCAATGTAAAATTTCAAATTTACTTTCTAAATAAAGTAAAATAATAAATTATAAATTAAATTTATAAATTTATATTATAAATAATAAATTAATAAAGTAAAATAAATTTTAGTAAAATAAATAAAATAAAATATATTTAATTAAAAAAACAAATACTAATATTCAGTCTATTTTCCGAATTTTACTAATACATTTTTCAAAAATGCAGCTTTTCAGATTTATTAAATTCTGCCTTTTCGTTTGGACTTTTAATATCGACTACATTAAATACAGTTCTCTTAAGTTTCACAGTATTTTCCGTAAGAATTTGGTATTATTTTTATTATAAAAATTATATACTTTTGTCTAATAATGCAAATAATTAATACAATAAATTAATTATTTGTTTAAAAAAAAATTATATTCAATATTTCAGGCACGTGAATATCATCATACTCCCCTTCTCATGTGGAGATACGCAATTTTAACTTCAGCTGAAATTTTTCATCTATTCAATAAATTTTGGCAATGTCAAACATTAATCGATCACAGTGTTATGTTTCGAAATTCAATGTAAGTATATTAAATTTAAACAATAAAATTTTCGAGAAAATCACGAGAAATATTCGTCAAGAAAAATTGCAATCAATTTTTAAAATCTTCTTTTTCTCTATTTTCAAAATTTATAAAAATATAATAATATTTTTTTGAAGAATTTATTAAAATGTTAGTAAATAATCATGGTTGCCACAAAATAATAAATGTAAAATTCCAGGCTTTTCCCCATGGTTTCAAGGTCAATTTAATTCACAATTCATAAAAAGTAACCACAGCCGATAATCAGCAGAAGATGAAAAATTATTTTTTGAGCAAATTTTATCTTCTGTTTACTGTCAATTGTTGGTCATAAAATTTTTTACTGGTCCTAAACTTCTACTAGAACAATTTCAATAATTATCTGAGTCATCAAAATTAATTTTAATTCACTACAATTAAAAAAAATGATCAAATTAAAATATAAACTTGATAAATTTATAATAAAACTAATAATTTTATTATAATAAAAAAATATTTAAATTATAATTGAATCAACATTTTAATTTATAATTAAGACAGATTTGTAAAAATTAAAATTTATCGTAATTAGTTAGAAATTATTTTATGAACTTTTTAATTGAAACAATAAAAAATTGTATGATTTCAGCTATGCTTCCAATTGGTATAATGCATCAGCTAATACAAAATTAATTTTACGATTTATGTTAATGAGATCTGAAAAGGTGTGCAAAGTAACAGCAGGAAAATTCTTCGACATGTCATTTCACACTTTTAGAAAAGTACGCAAATTTTCATATTTATTGAAAAATAATTACCTATACATTTATTTATTTTTTTGTCTTTGTAAAATAATTCTATTTTGGTCAAAAGATGTGAATTATAATTAATACTGTCAAAATGTAAACATTTTCTTTCAACTATTACAAAATTAAAAAAACAAATGTTGAAAATTTAAATTTTACTATCGTATTAAATATTTTTAAATTGGAAATTTGATACTTTTTTCAGATTTTAAGTACGGCGGCTTCTTATTTTACTGTTTTATCAGCCATAAAATAATTAAAAACCAACAATTTTCCGATAAATAATATAAATATGATGGACTAAAATATTGTCCGACAGATATTGTATTCGACACACAGAAAAAGGGAATAAATTTTTGAGTACAACACTAATTTTGTAAATAATAATTATAACAATAAAAATTTACCTGTATTTAACCATTTTTGCACATTTTGTATAAATTTTCTCCTTGTTAATCAAATCACTTTTTGAATTTAACGCCGCCAGGTAATGAGCCACCTGACGGCAACGACGCTAAGGTCGAACCGTCAAAATTTTGAGGTTATCTTTTGTCGCAAAACATTTTTTCCAAATATATTGACTTTTCCCATAATTCGCATATAACTAATATAATATCTCGATTCTTGACACATTACTGTACTTGATTAGTGAAAAACTTTGATAATTAACAATAAGATTTAATAGCTATGAATAGATTTATTTTTCATCAACACAGAGCGACATTCATTGATAGGGAGGCCATTTGCCAATGAGCTGCGCTGCCAACCCAAGATAACAAAATACCCTCCTCCCACTTGTACCAACGTTAAGAAAAGTAACCAATTTGAAATTCTAACACACTTTTCTTATATTATTTATAAATAATTATTATTCACGGCATTAAAAATATATGTTTTGATAGTTGAAAATTTAATAAATTCCGAAAATGAACATTAACAATTGCGTACACGCTATTTTGTGCTAATTAATTTCCCGCGCGTACTTATAACACAGTATTCTATTTTTGGTGTATTTTTATCATTTTCGAAAGAAAAAAGTCTGTGTAAAATATACAAAAAGAAAAGTAACTCTGTATTATGTTTTCAATTTAGTTTTATAGTATTAAATATAGTGAACTATATTATTAAATTGAATATAGAATTGGAATATTTCAAAATCAACGGCAGAAAATGGAGGAAATTTGTGACATGCGCAGTATTCACTAGTCAGGTTTTGGAAACGGGCAACATGGCGGCGTTTATCGAACAAAACCGAAGTTTCACGACAAAAATGTGTCACAGTTTTTCAAACAAAAGTGTTGCAGTAGCTAGTTTTATTTAAAACACGTGTTTAAAGAATTCAATTTACGAGTGTTTACGAATTTATCAATCTATTGTGTGTCAGTGCAAGTTTACTCAATTGTTAAATTACGCGAACAATCCGGACATTCTTTCTAACAAGTGATAAACAAATCCGTGCGACTTCTTTTTTAACCTCTCCCATAGAGAATTCATCGGTAAGTTTCTTTCTGTTTCTCATTCTTATTTAAACATTTAGGCTAATAATTAATTATTCACATGTATTTCAACTATTGACAGTATGACAATTATTTATGCATTTATAGGTTAGGTTATAATTTTTTCGCATGCATTTAAAGGGCAATTCTAATTTTCTTTTCTCTTTTAAAACATTTTGTTTACATTCTTTTCTTTTCAAATGTCCCTAAAGTTCTGAACTAAATAAACGAAATTTATTTATTTCTTCTAAAATTTTACTATAATAATATTAAGTCGAAAAAATTTCCATTTCAATTCCAACAAATTTATTAAAATTTTCGAGAATATTTTAATTATTTCGTAGAAAATGAAAATTGGTTCCAGGGATTTACTTAAAATTCTATTGAAAATAATTAAATTTATATGAAAAAAATGTCAAAATTTTGGAAAATAATTGAATTGTTTCGAATAGTTAATTATTAAAATTGTATTGAAAATAATTGAATTCTTACTATTCAATTATTTTCGAGAACTTTAATAAATTCTTCGTCAGAATTCAATTATTTTGATTACAATTTCAAATAAATTCTTTTAAATAATTCAATTTTTTCCAAAATATTATTAAAATTCATTGTAAGAATTCAATTATTTACAATTTTTATAAAATCCTTCTTGGAAATTTAATTATTTTCATAAAATTCTTTGCTGGAATTCAATTATTTTCACAAATAATAAAATTTTTACGGAAATTCAAATACATATTTGAAAAGAATTTTAACAACATTCTTAATAAGAATTCAATTATTTTTCCATAAATTAATATTTCATTTCTTTTAAATTAAATTTTTGTTTCTTAACTTTTTTAATGATTTTTCTTTTTAAATATTTTCAATTTTAAAATTAATGTATTGGAAATTATCGAATTGTTGCAAAGAATTTTATCAAAAAATTTGATAATAATAGAATTTCTTAGAGGAGTTTTTTTTATTTAGGAAAATAGTTATGAACAATTTCTTTAAAGCTTTTAAAATAATCGTGTTTGTTAATAATTGAAATTAAACATTTAATTATTTAATTTTATAATATTTTAGAAAATAATTGGATTCTTTTGAAAAATTTTATACCGAATTAAGAAAAAAATTGAATTCTTTCATGAAATTTTATTAAAACTGTATTAAAAATAATTGAATTTTTGCAAAGAATTTTACTATTTATAAATATAATTGAATTGTTTCGAAGGATTTGTTAAAATTTTAGAAAATAATTAAATTTTTTCGAAAAATATTATTAAAAATTTTTTAAAAAATTGAATTCTTTCATGAAATTTTATTAAAAATGTATTAAAAATAATTGAATTAAAATTAAATTGTTTCAAAGAATTTGTTAAAATTTTAGAAAATAATTGAATTTTTTCGATGTATTTTATAACGAATTAAGATAAAAATTGAATTTTTGCAAAGATTTTACTATATAAAAAATTAATTGAATTGTTTCGAAGGATTTATGAAAATTTTACAAAAATAATTGCATTCGTTCGTTTTATTAAAATTTTGTTTAAAAATAATTGAATTTTTGCAAAAAAATTTTACTATTTCTAAAAATAATTGAATTTGTACAAAGAATGATATTATTTATGAAACTAATTGAATTCTTGCGAAGAATTTTATTAAAATTTTTGAAAATTATAAACAAGAATAATTAATTAGTTAATTAGTTAATAATTGAATTTTTTTCAAGTTTGAATCTGAAATTATCAAAAAAAATTCATATTTCTAAATAAAAAATTTTGTAATTTGCATAATAATAATAATAATAATTTGAATATCAAGTTTCGTATAATTTACTAGTTTTGTAATAATTTATGTTCGTGAAATGAATTTTTAAAAAAACACCAACATTGTGACTGACATTCATTTTTATCTTACATAAAATTTCTATACACGAATTATTTTTAAATAATCTTAAAATACTATAACATTTTTGTTGAACTTTCACTAGACTTTTCTAAAATATATATTTATATATATATATATTCTTCAAATACAGTTTTATATTCTATAAATAACGAAAAATAATAAAATTCTCGTAGTTTACATTAACAAAAATTTCTTTTTGCAAAAGGAAAGGTTTCTTTTTCGAAAAGAAAAGTTTTTTCAGAACTTCTCCTTCTCTTAATATTGAATTTCCATATGTAATTTAGTTAAAATATTTATATTATATATATCATTCGCAACATTACATAAATTACGTTTTTTTATAAGTTATATCGCTAGATAAATGTACGTATATTGTAAAACTTAAAGTACAATCACATTAAAATGCACAGTTAATGCTTCAACATTGTTAATTATAATTATAAACACAAATGGACAATTTTACAGTTTTTTTCCGTTCATTCGTCTCACACTTATTTTTTGCATTCATTTTCAATTTTTCACACATTAACATAACAAAATGTACATAATATAAATACATTTTTTTTTGTATTCTACTAAGTACATACAATTCGCTAACTAGTAGATTTTTTTATATGAGTTTACATCAATTTTTTGTTTTCTTTTCCTTCTAAACTAACGAATGTGTTCTTTTTTTGGACATTTTTTTTGTACCTTTAACTGAGATCTTATTCGTTTCCGAGTCAAGAGAATAATGGAAATATAAAAAAGTAACTTTCAGGTGTTCAAAAAAATTATTTTTTCTGAACGGAATGTTCTTTGAGATTCTGAATAAATGAATAAAAATAAAAGTTCGATTCGGAAACGAATTAATCATTTTTTTTTTCATCTCCAGTTAGAGAAAAAGGAGAATTCGACACGAGATTCATTAATTGAACCGTATTTTCTTATATAGACAATAGAGAAAAATAATTTGAGAATTTGCTCAAATGGATTTTTCTTTGATTGTAGTTTTTTTTTATGGAAAATATTTTGAATTTTTATAAAACATTTACATATATTGCACACTTACGATAATCTATCTTTGGATAGAAATTTTTACCTTTCCTTTAAAATTGAAAGGGGGGGGGGGCGATTGATCTACTTATTAACAATTAGTTTACTTCGAATTAAACATCAATTTTTATGGAATAAAATTGAAAATCAATCGACTATTTGTTTTCTATATATTTTTTTTTCTTTTTCCTCTAAGGCTATGGAACTCTAATATCACCCACAATTTTAATTAAGCCCTTTTCATTTAAATTTGTCCGAAATTCGAAAAATTATCCGAAAAATCTTGCGATTTACACAGTTTTTTCATCTAGAAAGTTATCAAAGAAAACTGAGTTTTCCCGAAACTTCCGTAAATTCCTTTTTTTTAATCTGGATTTTCAATTTTCAATTAATTTCTGACACAAAAAAAAAATTGATTCCAGAAATTTTCAAGATTTTCCGAAGAATATTTTGCTTTCCTCTTTTTTTGTCAGTAATTCTAAATCTACAATTATCTAGTCGTTAAAAATAATTCTAAACCACAAAAAAAATAATTTAAAAAAACCACTCAAAGTTCTCTTAATCAAAATTTTGAGACACGCTAATGTGCAGTTTTAAAGCTTTACATTTGTGACTATATTTGAAAAAAAGCTCTGAAATATCCAATCAAGAATTATTCAGACGATTTTCGTAAAAAAAACGAAGACGTTTTGATTAATACAAAATAAGTTATTAAATATTCTCTTCAGAATATTTAATTTTTTCTTTGAATAAAAAAAGAAAAAATATTTAAAACAAAAGTATGAAGTGAAAATGAAAAAAAAATAAAAAATTAGTTGCCACTTTTTGTATAATGTAGAAAATAAATTAGAACATGAAATTCAGTCGGGATTTTTCGGAAAGACAGAAAACGACAGTGGTCACTATAGAGTTTCCAATTATCGTACACTAACGTCAGGTATCTAAGTATTCGGTTTCGTGTTTGTGTTTTTTTCTTCTTCTTTTTAAACTAAAATAACCGAAAAGTTCAATTAACAGGAAGCATTCACTAATCCTCGATGTTCCAACGAATCCTTTAAGGCTTGGAACAATTGTAGTTGTTGTTCGGATTTTAAATTGAAAACCTATCAAAGAAACAGTAAAATATTTTGTTAATTTTATTTAGAAATTATTTATTTTATTATATTTATTATTCATTAATATAATTAGTAATTTAGTAATTAATAATAAATTACCTGCTGCAGAAGTTTTTGTGGAGACGCGGTGTGAATGAAAGAAGAAATGTAAACATTCACAAAAGTTGCCATTAAATACTGACAGTCGAACCTGTCCATTATTCCCCCGTGTCCAGGAATAATGTCTCCAAAGTCCTGAAAAAAATTCATTTTAAAAAAAAACTGTAAATTTAAATTACAATCTAATTAATTACTATTTACTACTTTTTACACGATTTGCTACTATTTGAATACTTTTTCTTTTGATTTGTGACACTAAAAGCTACTTTTTTCTTTTTTTTACAGAATTTGCAAAACTTGAAACTAGCAAAAAGTTGAAATAAAAAAATTATTCTAAAAAATTTTAATAAAATTGGTAAATAAAATTCATTATCTACTATTTTAATAAAATTTCTCACAATAATTCAATTATTTAAAACAATTTTTATAAAATTCTTCACAAATTTTCAATTATTTTCAATAAATAATAAAAATTTTACAGAAATTCATTCAATTATTTAAAATATAAATTTTGTAATAAATTTTTCCGAAAAAACCAATTATTATTTAAAATAATATTTATAATATAGGGTAGGGTGGGGCATTACTATTCTTTTTTGGATTTTTGAGTCTAGAAAATGTATTTAAAAAAAAATAAAAAAATGAGTAGAACCGTTTGAAAGCTTGACTTCTTAGCTACAATTTTGCCATGTATCATTTTGCTGTAACTCGATTCTATTCCGAACTACAGCGATTTTACGAAAAAAAATTTTTTTTGATGTCGAAAAAAACGAGGGGCGTAACTATTCTTGCAGCTATTAATGATATAATACTAAAAAAATATAAAAAATAATTTGTTAATTGAAGGATTTTTTCTGGTTTTTTTCTGACAATTTCTTACCATTCTAACCTAGAAACAAGGAGAATAAAAAAAAATACACTGTTTTGTAGTTTTTGCTGTCATCAGTGGAAGAATAGTTACGCCCCATCCGCTCATTTTTTGAAAAAACACTTGTAAAATTTTTGAACAATAGAATATCAAAAATCTATTATGATATTCGTGTTCAGCACTAAATTTGACTTTGGAAATATTTTCTCCGATAATTTTTTCGACCGTTTATCACTATTTACAATGGCAGACTAAATGAGTGAAAACAAGTAAGCGAGTATATCAAAATCACATTTGGGTACCTAACTCCTATGATAGATGGCGCTAGAAGCTCAAATGTGGCATACAATGTTTATTTCACATGACAAGTATACAGTGTAAAAAAAACTTTAATCGGCTGAATAGTTTTCTCTCCAGGACAAAGAATAGTTACGCCCCGCGAATAGTAATGCCCCACTCTACCCTAAACATCTTCGCGATAATTTAATTATTTGTAATGCAATTTTAATAAAATTTCTTGAAAAAAGGTCAATTATTTTCAAAAATTTGAATGCAATTCTTCGCAAAAATTCAATTATTTTCTTTAAAATTTTAATTAAATTTGTCGACAAAATTTATAAAAATTCAATTCTTCTCATAAGTAATAAAATTCTTCCCGGAAATTTATTATTATTTTTATAAATAATTAAATTTTTACAGAAATTCAATTATTTAAAATACAATTTTCACTAAATTTTTTCGAGAAATGCAATAATTCTTAAAAATTTTATTATAATTCTTCGAAAGAATTCAATTAGTCAATAAATTATTTATTTTTATATTTAAATAATTAAATTTTCTTAGAATTTTTTAAGAAAAATTAATTTTAAAATTGAATTTCAGTTAAAATTTTAGATTATAATTGAATTTGAAAAGCATGAGAGCGTAAATTTTTAGAAATAATTGAATTTTGAAAAGGTTTTTAAATTAAAATCTTTGAAAATCTGAATTTTTCATATTTTTCGTAGACAAAATTTGTAAAAATTTAATTATTCTCATAAGTAATAAAATTCTTCTTGGAAATTTAATTATTTTCAAATAAATAGTTAAATTTTTCCAGGAATTCAATTATTTAAAAAAAGATTTGGTAAAATTCTTTATAAAAATTTAATTTTAAGAAATATTCAATTATTCAATAAATTATTTATTTTTATATATAAATAATTAAATTCCCGTAGAATTTTTTTTAATAAAAATTGATTTTAAAAGGAATTTTAGTTAAAATTTTAGATGATAATTGAATATAAAAAGCATTATTGCGTGAATTTTTAGAAATAATTGAATTTTGAAAAGGTTTTAAATTTAAAGTCTTTGAAAATTTGAATTTTTCATAACTTTTAACTAACAGTTCTGTAGAATTATTTTTTTTTAAAAAGTTCAATTTAATTTTTTTTTGGAAATTATTCAATTTTTTATTTTCGAAATATTTAATTAAAGAATTTTCGAATAATCGAAATTTTACTAAAAATTGAATTGTAAACAAATGGATTTTTGAAAATTCTCAAGGAACTTTTGCAAAAATTATTAAAAATAATTGATAATTAATAATTGAATTCTTTACAAGAAATTTTAATAAAATTTTTGAAAATAATTATGTTTTTCGAAGAATTTACTTAAAATTGAATTAAAAATAATTTGAAATTCTGTGAAGAATTTTATTATTTAGCAGAATAATTGAATTCTTGCTACGAATTTTTAATTAATTTTTTTTAAATAATTGAAATCCTGTAAAGAATTTTATTACTTATAAAAAGAATTGAATTCAGACAACGAATTTTATTACATTTTTTTTTAAATAATTGAATTCTTTTGAGAAATTTTATTAAAATAGTATTCGTTTATTCTTTTTGTTTATTTATTTATTCGTTTATTTATTCAATTCAAAGGGATTTGATAAAATTAAAATTTGACTATTTAAGCGATAACTTGAAAATATTTTTTTTCCAAAAGGAAATAAATTCTTTTTTTTCTTTGAAATACCTTGATTTTAAATGCCCTCTTAAATCCACTCGCGAAAAATCCTCCGAAAGGTCCTATCACAGAGCTGAATACTGACATTGATAATGAGTGCAGTAAGTATGGATAAACTGTAATGGTCGACATATTGATCTGCAAAAAGAGAGAAAAAAATTAATTGAAAAATTAGAGATGAATATTTCCTTTTTGTTGAAAATTAATTAACTTTAATTTCAAACTGAATTTAATATTAATTCAATATTGAATTTAGTTAGGTATTTGTTTATTTTAAAAAAGAAACAGTTTTTTTCTCGATTTAACTAAAGTCGTTGAAATGCTCGAAATTAATTTGAAATATATTTGAAATACTAAAGTGAAATTAAATACAGACGGGAGAATTTCTTTAGAAAAACGTAAGAAAAGAATTATAGTTGAAAAATAAATGAAATAAGAAGGAATAATTTTTTGCGAAAATTGTAAAAATCCCAACCAATTTTGTTACAGTTTGTACACTTTCTGGCAAAGTGTATTCTTGCGGTTTGAATAAACTCGATGGTTCACAGTCCATTGTCATCCGTCCCAAAGTCTCACTGTATTCAATCGGGCAAACAAAATAGCGATATTGACACATAACGTACGCCATCTAAAAAATTCAATCAAAAATTAATTCATTTATCAATCAGTAAAAATTAAAAAGAAAATTAAAAAGTACCCAGTAAAAGGTGAAAAAAAGACAGAAACTTTAAATATTTACGATAGAAGAAAATTATTATAATTAAAAAATTAATTATCCGATTAATATCATAATAAAAAAAATATATTTTTTATTATTTTTCAGAAAGAATAATAGACGAACCAATAGTCCAAGTACGACAGTCGCAATACCGCCACCAATGAATCCTTCCCACGTCTTTTTCGGTGACAATTTTATCAATGGAGTTTTGCCGAAGAAAAATCCAAAAACATATGCCATCACATCATTTATGACAATCATACTCACTGGTACGATGAACCTGAAACACAAAGGTAAGTGCCAAAAATATTAATTTAATAATATATTGAAAAAAAACAAATGACAATAACGTTTCATTCTTATAAAAAAAATGACAAATAATTTCATAATATAATAATTATTAATTGCAATTAAAAAAAGAAACAGAAACTGTTTCTTCTTCCCCCAATCAACCGTGTCGTTAAAGTGATCGAAATTAAATTTTGGAAATTAGTTTTTAAAATTAATTGTGGAAATTAATTTACAAAATTAATTTTTGAAGTCAATGTACAAAATTAATTTTTGATATTAATTTATAAAATTAATTTTAGACATTAATTTACAAAATTAATTTACAAAATTAATTTAGAAAATTAATTTTTGATATTCATTTACAAAGTTAATTTTTGCAATTAGTTTACAAAATTAATTTTTTAAATTAGTTTATAACATTAATGTTTGAAATTAATTTTTAAAAACTATATTTATGAGATAAATTAAAATATTAGACAATAAAATCGGTATTCAGTGAATGAAAGTAGGCAATTTTCCTTCTGGTGGAACTTACCAGATGAGTCCTTCGAAAATATTTTGTATTATCAAGTAACTCTGAGTAACGACGATTAGAAGTGCCACATGAGTCCATGCAAAGAGGGAAAATTGTTTCATGTAGTATTTTTTCACGAGCGATAGAACGAACCATACGAAACCAGTGATGTAGAGACAGAATGAAATAAAGCGATGATAGGTCACGAGAACTCGTAAATATTCCTAATTAAAGAGAAAACAAACATTAAATTAGTTAATTAATTTTTAAATTAAATTTTTTTTTAATAAAACAGTTTTTTTATAGAAAAATAATTCGAAAAACGATTTTAACAAGAAGCAAATATTAAAATTAATGATTAATTAATGTTAAAATTGATATTAAATTAATATTTAAAATTAACATTAAGTTAATATTTAAATTAATATTAAATTAATTATTTTAATAAAAAGCCAATATAAAAATTAATAATTAATTAATGTTAAAATTTATATTAAGTTAATATGAAAATTAACATTAAGTTAATATTTAAATTAATATGAAATTAATTATTCTGTAATAAAAAAAGCCTTTTTATTACAAAATAATTTAGAAACGATTTTAATAAGAAGCAAATATGAAAATTAATAATTAATTAATGTTAAAATTGATATTAAGTTAATACTAAAATTGATATTAAGTTAATATTGAAATTAATATTAAATTAGTATTGAGACAATAATTTTTGATCCAAAAAATTTATTCACTTTTAGAATGTCTACAAACGAAACTGAAAAAAGATTTCAAATTTATAGAAATTGATCCGAAAATTTTATACCAAATAGTAAAAATAATTCCAAACAAAATAAAAATTAAGTCACTTTAAAAAGAGTACAAAAATTAAATTAAATGCATAATAAATTGTGACCTTTAAAATAAAAGAAAAAAAAACATTACAGTAACATTCGAAGCCCCGTTACCGCATAAAATGAAGCCTCATAAATTAGAAAACGTAATCGCGGTCAGGAAGAAATCGATTTCATGTCAAAGCTGTCGAGGTTCTCTTTATTTAAATTCATTTTGATTTGCCCATTGTTTTAATAATAATAATGATAATCATACTAAATGACATTTTGTGATTTTTCCTCTTTCTCTCTCTCTCTTTCTCTTAATTGAAATTTCTTGCAGATCAAAACTTATTGTTTCAAATAATTTTTTTTTTATTATTCAAATAAAAATTTTCTTTGGCTTTAGAGGGGAAAAAAAATATTTTTGCAATTTCGAGATATTTACCGTTCGATTAATTACAACGGCAAAATAGTCCATTAAATTCTCCCCATAGAAAAAGTAATTCGACGTAATTAAAAAGTACCACGATAATGATCGGAACCATGGCAGACCATGAATTCGATAAACTGCATATCCAATGTTAATTATTTCCTCGAAACATTTCACCTGAACGATCAGTGTCTGCGGAAGGAAAACGAAAATTACTATTTTTTGCAAGAATTAATTTTTCAATAATAATAATAATAATAATAATAATAAATAAAAATTATTTAATTTTTTAATAATTAATTCACAAAAATCAATTTTGAATTAAATATATTTACAAGATCTTAAAAAGATGAAAATTAAAAATTAAAATTTAATTGTTTGACAAAATGTTTCGACAGTTTAATTAATTTTTAATTTACACCTTTTTCCGTTTTTAAGGCCTTGAAATAATATTTAATTCAATTATTTAATAAATGACGGAATTTTTGGTCATTACCGTGAGCATCAGAGCTAAAGGTCCCCCATAAATTATCAGACAAAATCCACTTATCATTAGCCATGTGAAGATTCCTCGGATTACCCAATTTTTCCAGCTGTAAACATTAAAATTCTTATTAGAATTTTTTCTTTCCTTTAAAATTACGTTGCAACTTTGTTCTCATCTTTTTTGCGGTATTAAATAAATTTCATATAAATATTAATTATTATTACTAACTGTAAATTAATATTTACAAAAAATGACAATAAAATTGTTTTTACCGTTCTGGTAAGCCGGAAAGAATTGTTCCGAGAAGTTGTGGGATGTGATTTGTTCCTTGTGATAAAGTTTTAGACATTTCGTCAACCTCAAGTTTTGCATCGTCTTCTGACTCGACATCCTCTTTCTGAAAAATTATTTTTTTCACGTATTAAAGTTATTTTTGAAAAATTTTATTATAATTTCAGAAAAAATAATCTTTTAATGAAAAAAAATGTAACATTTAATCAAATCGTGAAATTTTTAATCAAAGACAATTACAATTACAAAAAAGTTATATTCCACTTTTCTGTTTTTGTAGAAAAATATACAATAAATAAATTGCCTTCTATTTATTTAAAAAAAATGAATTGACAAATTTATTATTTAAACAATTTAAACGATTTTTAAAAAATAAATGTTTAATTATTAAAATATTGGAAAGAAATATTTTCTAGAAATAGTTTCGAGAAAAATTATTTCCACCACATTGTTAAGAAATAAAAAATTAATATACACAGCAAAAAAATTAGTCTTTTAAATAATAAAATAGATATTTACAGTGTCATTATTGAAATGAAAAAAAAATTATTTTTAGAAATTAATTGATCCAAATTACACTCTATTTAAAACATGTTACCTTTTCATAAAATGAAATGCGCAATATCTTGAATTTAATGGAATTTAATGAAAGAAAAAAGTTAGTTTTTGTGAATAGTAATTATAATAAAAGTGTCAAGCGCTACACGATATGACAAAAAAAATAAAGTAAATTCATCCAAGAGGGGAAGTTAAAAATAATTATAAGTGTATTAAAAAATAATCAAAAAAGAAAAAAAAAAGAAATCACAAAAATTAGATTTGATAAAAATATCAAAATTAGAATATTCGAGCGAAATTCCGCAGATAATTGAAATTATAGACGACAGTTAATTGGCATTAATTAAGATGAGATGAAATTGATTATTAGATGTCAAATCAGAGAATACGAGGGGAAAGAAAACATGTCAACATAATGTATTTATTAATAATGAATGAACGTTTATGAAAAGAGATAGTAACTAAAATAACGGATATTTATTTCTCTCTACCGGAAACTGTTTTAAAATATGAAAAAAATGGGGAATAATTATTTATAATATAGATAATTAAAAAAAATGCTATTTACTTGATCATCACTGACATCCCGTGGAGTGTCTGACGTATCCTGACCAGTTCTTTTTCGAATTGAAGACATTGTTGGATTGTATTATTCACAAATTATTTTTCACTCAAATCACCTATATACCAATAAACGAATTACAATTATTCTTTTTTCCAATACATATTTACATATTTAAATATAATTATAAATGAGCGGACGTGATGCACAAATATCGGAGTTACTTGTTAACACAGATGAGCGCAAGTGCAAAATGAACAATCCACCACGTTTATTCGGAAAAACCCGGTAATTGACGGTAAACTTCGGAAAATCGATGACAATTTCTCCCCTTTTTTAGAATAAAAAAAAAATAAATTTTCCCATTGGTCCAAACAATGGAAACGCGGGAAAACGCGATTTTCCTTTTCACTTACCATACAATTCCGAGGAGAAAATTAAAAATAAAGATCTGAAATTAATTTAGAGGTTATGTTCGTACCTTCGATATAAATCGATGAAAAAATCGATTTTTTTTTCTCTTTTAAATTTTTAAATTACCAAATAATAATTAATAACTAATATTAATTACTATCATTACTATTACTTTCCAAAATGAAAGAGACTGAACGTTTTAATAATTTTCTTTTATTGCTAATTTTTTTTTCTACGATTTTCAAATTTCCCGCTTCTGTGAGTATCGAAGTATATCGAAAGTGACAGAAATTAAAGGGAAAAATGTCGCAGACTTCACGTGTTTAGTTTTTTCCCATCAAGTGACAAAAACAATTATAACTAATAACTAATAAGTAAAGTATTTCTTAATTTAGTAATTAGTATTAATGGATTTGATTTTTGACTAATTTTCAAATAATCCTGTGAATTTTTCTGATTGTTATAAGTGAATGAAGATTATATTAGTCATTTTTTAGTCGCGCTCATTAAAAATGCGACTAAAATGAAGGTTTTTAATTTAATTAACAGTGTTATTATAATTTTGCAATCGTCATGATAGTGCATTAGTGTTTATCGTTGAATTTTATATTAGTAAATTATTTTATCTCCTGAAAATCGATGTAGTCGTAAAAAGGTTATCAAAGGGAAAATTCTATAATTATAATTATAGTTGAAAAAAAAGTTGTTATATATTTTTGTAAATTACAAAGACTGATAGGAATTTAAAAGAGTTTTCCAATCATGGAGAATAAAAGTTCACACAATTTCATAAGTTATGTAGGTTTAGAGGAACATGAAATGGAGGTAAGTTGTGAATTAATATTATTGTTTTTCATTTGTTTTATATTGTTAATAACGTTCATAATTTTCCATGTAAACAGAGAAACATAACCTCACTTTTTTCGTTATTTTTCTAAAATGTTTATATTTAAAGTCAATGTGTATTTTCTAATGAATTCAAATAAGAAAATTCGTCAAGAATTTTCTACTTTGTGTTTTTATTATTTTTCGGAAAATAATTCCCCAGGAATTGTCTACTAATTTTGAAATTTAAAAGATATTTTTCTCCCCTCAGAATCTTGGATCGAGTCGACGAAATTCATTGAACGAGAATAATATAAAATTACTACCTGGAGAATCAATTGCTGCGAGTGCAAAAAATGTGTTAATGTTTTCACCAGTTGGCGATTTTAAAAAAGGCATTTCCGGAGTTCTTGTTGTTACTAATTTTAAATTAACGTTTCTCACTACTGAACATGCGAACGGAGAAGTAATTAATATTCTTATTTAATTTTTTACTTGAATATTAATTTTAATTTTAATTTTAAACCTATTTTTCGTTAATTTTGAACTTATTTCTTGTTAATTTTATTTTTCTGTATATATTCATTTTAAAATTAATTATTTTACTTTTGAATTCAGGATTCTGTGTATCAACAAAATAATCTTTATGGATTTATGGATACTTGCTTGTCAAATATAGACGCTATTTATTTAATAATGGGTGATAAAAAGAGAAGACTCATTCCAAGGAACATTGTCTCTTCGAAAATAAAAGGAAAAATATTTATTGTTTGCAAGGTAATGAGAAATTTTTGATTAATTAATTTTATCTATTTTATCTTTATTAACGAACAGTTTCCATTGTCAACTGTTTAAATTTTTTTATATATTTACAGAATTCAATTATCTTAATAAATATTAAAATTCTTTCCCTAAATTCAATTATTTTCAAAATTTTTTTAAAAATTCTTGTCAACATTTCAATTAACTTTTTAATAGCAAAATTCTTTGCTGAAATTCAATTATAATCAGGAATTTTTATAAAATTCATTTGTAAAATTCAATTTTTTTCATAAATAACAATATTCATAAAAAGAATTCAATTATTTTCAAAATAAATAAAATTATTAGTAAAAATTCAATTATTTTCAAAAAATGTAAAAAAAAAATTGTCAACATTTCAATTATTTTTATCAAGAAAAAGCAAAATTCAATTATTTTTAAGAATTTTAATAAAATGCAATGCCGAAATTCAATTATATTTAGGGATTATTATAAAATTTATAGTAAAAATTAATTATTTTCATAAACAACAGTATCCATCACAAGAATTGAATTACTTTTAAAATTAATAAAATTCTTCGCAGAAATTAAATTATTTCCAAAAATTCTAAAAAAAATTGTTAACATTTCAATTATCTTTGTAAATGAAGAGCAAAATTCAATTATTTTCAAGAATTTTAATAAAATTAATTGCAAAATTTAATTATTTTCAAGAATTTTAATGAAGTTAATTGCAAAATTCAATTATTTTAATAAATAATAGTATTCATCACAAGAATTCAATTATTTCAAAAATTTGAATAAAATTCATGGCAAAATTTCAATTATTTTTTTAAAAAAATGAAAATTTCACAGGAATTCAATTATTTAAAATAGAATTTGCATAAATTATTTTTCTAAAAAATCAAATGTTTTAAAATTTGGCATGAAATTTTTCTCAGTAATTCAATTATTTTGACAAAGTTCTACACGAATATTCATTTATTCTATAAAATAATGTAAATTTCACAGAAATTCAATTATTAAAAAAAGAATTTGCATAAATTTTTTCGAAAGAAAGCAATTGTTTGAAACTTTTTATAAAATTCTTCGCAATAATTCAATTATTTTCATTAATTTTAAAATTCATTGCGGAATTTCAATTATTTTTAATACAATTTCAATCGAATTCCTCGAGAAATGTAATTATTCTTAAAAATTTTATTAAAAATCGTCAAAAGAATTCAAGTATTTTAAAATTTGTTGATAAAATTCTTTATGAGAATTGAATTTTAAATAACTTTTAATTATTCAATAAATTATTTATGTTTGTATTTAAATAATTGAATTCTCGTAGAATATTTAAATAAAAATTGATTTAAAAAATAATTTCAGTTAAAGTTTTAGATAATAATTGAATTTCGGAAAAGTTACTAATAATTGCAATTTTTAGAAATAATTGAATTTTGTATAGGTTTCCAATTAAAATCTTTATAAATCTGAATTTTTCATACTTTTAATTAAAAATTCTATGGAACTAATTTTTTTCAAAAAGCTTAATCGAAATTTTTAAAAATTATTTCAAGTTTTTATTTTCTGAATTATATTTAATTGAAGAATTTCCGAATAATCGAAATTTTTTTGGTAAAATTGAATTGTAAACAATTTAAAAATTCCCAAAAAGAACTTTTTCAAAAAATATTGAAAATAATTGATTTGAAGAAGACTTTTAGTTAAAAATTATAGAAAATAATAATTGAATTGAAATGATGAAAATAATTTTGAAGAAGTTACAATAAATATTCTTATAATAATTTAAATAATTATTATAATAATTTAATAACTATTCTTATAAATAATCTACGAAATTTTTACAAAATGTTACAAAAGAAAATATTTTACAGTAAAAATAATATTATCCTTATAATAGAGAATTAATTATAATATATTATATTTAATAATTTCAGTTGATATATTTTAATTACAGAATTTCAGAACTTGGTCGTTTTCGTTTAAATTCTCATCTCCAGATCATGGTCAGAAAGTTGTAAACGCTCTTTTACATCACGCATTCCCAAGCAGACATCAATTGTTATTTGCTTATGATTACAAGTATGTAAAAAAGGAAAAAAAGACACTTGATAAGAATCCAAAAATTTAATATTTCAATTTAATGCTAAATTAAACAAGTTTTAAGAAATAATTTTATTTTAGACACTTTTTGTAAATTTTAATGAAACACTCGAATTTATCTGAATTTTTTTATAACAAAATTATAATTATTGTCAATTTTAAATTAATTTTTTAATTTTACTTCTATAAATTAACGAAACAATGAATTATAAGTAATATTAAAAATTTTTTTAGGGAAAAGTATTACTGCAGTGTTGACAAAGGTGTTTGTTTCTTTCGAGAAAAATCCGATTGGGAAAATGAATTGGAACGTGTACTGCATAAAAGTAGTAATTTAAAGAGAGGTTGGAGATTATCCACGGCCAACGAACAGTTTCAATTGTCATCTAGGTATGAAAAATTAATTTAAAAAAATTATTTGCAATCTAATTATTATTTCTTCTTTTTCTATTTTATACGTTTGAAACATTTTTTTTTGTACGTTTGCAATTTTTGTTTTAGAAAATAATAATTCTTTTTTTCCTTCTTTTTTTTAGTTTACCAGAATATATAATTGTACCTTCGTCCGTAACTGATAGTCAACTAATAAATGCAGCTCATCATTTTCAAGATAACCGTCCACCCGTCTGGTCATGGTCAAATGACCGGGGCGCTGCTTTAGTGAAAATGGCCGAATTATCGCCAACAATCACTGAACGAACGCAGGAAAATATAATGCTTGAAAATATACGAAAAAGCCATCCACGAACAATACAACCAATTGTCATTGAACTTAACAAGGAAGTTAATGTTAAATTTATTGCAAATAGTTTTTTGAAATTCGTCGCCTTGTGTTCGCCAGGTAAACAAATTGAAATTAATTTTGTATCTTATATTAATTTTTTTAATTATTTTTTTATTTAATTGTGATTATAATATTTATAGCATGACAACCCTGATCTTATAGTTTAATTAAAATTAATTAGATAGTGAAAATCTAAAACTAGATATAGTTTATATTTTATAACAGGGTTAATAATGATTTTAATTTTTCGATTTAGAAAACATTAGGCAGTTTTGGATTCAGGACAATAATTTTTATTCGCTTCTGGAAACCACAAAGTGGCTTAAGTACGTGTCGTACTGTTTACAAAAGGCTGTTGAAACTAGTATTCATTTAAACGAAGGAGAATCGGTTATTTTACAAGGTAAATGAGAATATAAACTATATACTTTGAATAATAATATTTAGAGTAATAATTATAATAATATTAATAAAAAAAATTTCGCAGAGGCTAGTGGTCGAGATGTGTGCTGTATTGTTTCGTGCTTAGCGCAATTATTATTAGATCCATTCTTCAGAACAATAAATGGTTTTCAGTCCCTTGTGCAGAAAGAATGGATTGCAGCTGGACATCCATTTTGCGATAGATTGGGTTACATAATTAATGAAGATTCTGAAAAGGTAAAATTAATAAAATAAAAAAATAATTCATCAGGAAAAGGTAGAAACTAATAAAACTTAAAATTAAAGAAAAAAAAATAATAATTTCTTTCACTTTCAGTCGCCCTTATTTCTTCTATTTTTGGACTGCGTTTGGCAATTGTGTCAACAATTTCCCACTGAATTCGAATTCACGGAAACTTATTTAACAACACTCTGGGACACCGTACACGTTTCGATTTTCGACACTTTCATATTCAATTGCGAAAGAGATCGAATTCGTGCAGCTCAAGTATTTAAAAACCCATTCTTTTTGATTTCAATTATTTTATTAACAAAAGAAAAATTTAAGAATTCATTTGCAAAACAATTATTTTATTACAGGGTTGCCACTGTTTTATAGAATTCAAATTACTCTGAAATTATAGTTGAATTTTTTAATCTATATTTAATTATCAATTAAAAATAATGGATTTATAGAAGAATTTTAGTTAAAAACACTAAAAAAAAATTGAATTTTGAAAAAGTTACAAATGATTGCAGAAATTCAATTATTATTTTAAAAAGTAATAAAATTCTTGGCAAAAATTCAATTATATTCAAAATTTTTTTTAAATTCTCGTCAAAATTTCAATTATCTTTATAAATAATAAAATTCTACTTCGAAATTCAATTATTTTCAACATTTTTAATAAAATTCTCCAATTATTTTGAAAAATGTTCCAGAATTGATTTTTAATATCTACTATTTTAATAAACTTTTCCAAAAGAATTCGATTATTTAAAAAAAATTTTAATAACATTTCAACGCAAACATTTAATTATTTTCATAATTATAATAAAAATTTCTCAGGAATTCAATTATTTACAAATTTTTTTATAAATTTCTTCTCAATCATTCAATTATTTTTATAAATAAAAAAATTTTTTACAGGGATTCAATTATTTTCATAAATAATAAAATTATTATTAGAAATTCAATTATTTTCATAAAATAACAAAACTCAACGCAGAATTTCAATTATTTTTAACCTACAATTTTAATCGAATTTCTCGAAATTATGTAAAATTTTAAGCAATATAAAATTCTTTGCAAGAATTCAATAAAAAAAATTTTCATGGAATTCAATTAAAATTGTATTAAAAATAATTTACTTCTTATACAGAATTGTATTGAAATTCTTAAGAATAATTTAATTCTCTCGAAAAAATTTAATAAACATTTTAATAATAATTGAATCTTAACGAAGAATTTTTTTAAAATTGTATAAAAAATAGTTGAATTCCAACAAAAAAGTTTTATCAAAACTTTTTTTTGAAAATATTTGAATTTCTGCGAAAATTTTCATATTTATGAAAGCATTTGAATTCTTGCGAAGAATTTTATTAAGATTTTTAAGAATAATTGAATTTCTGCAAAAATGTCTATTATTTAACGAAAGTATTGAAATAATTGCGAACATTTTTTATTAAAATTTCTAAAAGTAATTAAAGATCTGCAAAGAATTTTGTTATAGTTTCAATTTATGCCAAGAATGTTATTAAAATTTTTGAGAATTATTAAATTTCTGAGAATTTTTTACAGGAATTATTTATTTATTTTTAAATATTTTAATAAAATTCGCTAGCAATGATTTATTTTCATAAATAATAAAACTCATAGCAGGATTTCAATTTTTTTAATACAATTATTTTCAAATATTTTAATAGAACTCTTGGCGAAATTTCAATTATTTTCAAAAATTTGTCTCAATTCAATGATTTTCAATATCTAGTATTTTAATAAAATTTTCCAAAAGAATTCAATTATTTAAAACAAATTTTAATAAAATTTCTCGCAAACAATTTAATTATTTTCATAAAAAATAAAATTCTAAGCAAGAATTCAATTATTTTCATAAATATTAAAACTCATCGCAGAATTTCAATTATTTTTAATACAATTTTAATCGAATTCCTTGAAAAATGTAATTAATCATAAAAATTTTATTGAATAATAATTTTGAAAAGGTTTTGAAATTAAAATTTTTGAAAATCTGAATTTATCATTCTTTTAACTAAAAATTAGAATCTTGTAAAGATTTTTATTATTTATGAAAATAATTAAATGTTTGCGTTGAAATGTTATTAAAATTTTTTTTAAATAATTGAATTCTTTTGAGAAATTTTTTTAAAATAGTAGATTTTGAAAATATTTGAATTATTATAAAATTTTCCCTAGGAATTTAATTGTTTGAAAAAAATGTTAATAACAATCGTTGCAAGGATTTTATTATTTAAATTTCTTCTCTGGATTTTAATTATTTTTAATACAATTGTTCAATTTAAAATGAATTTCTCGAAAAATGCAATTATTCTTAATAATTTTATTAAATTCTTCGAAACAATTCAATTACTTTAATAAATTTTGATAAAATTCAATTTTTAAAAAGTAATCATTTATTCAATAAATAATTTATTTTTGTATAATTAAATAATTTAATTCTTGTAGAACTTTCTAACATGAATGGATTTAGAAATTAAATTGAAATAAAATTTGAGGTAATAATTTAAATTAATTTTTTGTGGCAACCATGTATTAATTTTATTAGCGAAAAAATAATTGAAAGATTATTTACTAGAAAAAATGCTAAAAGCATTGATTTGTTTTTTAATGAAATTTTCTTCTTTATTTTCAGGATCGAAATTTCCCTCTTGTTTTACGAAGTGTTTGGGATTGGCGGGAACAATTCAGCGAGCAGGATATTCTTCTCTTTTCTAATCCACTATTTAAAAATGATGGAACAAGAGAAAACGATGAGAGATCGCATATTAAACCACAGTTTAGTATTTCGAATTTAGAATTATGGTCGCAATGTTATTTCCGATGGATTCCACCATTAGAAATACATAATGGTGGTAAAAATCATGTTGAATTACACGCGCGTTTAGTTCAAAATGATATTGTCCAATTGAAAATTAATGCCAATGGAAATTGTGAATCTCCCGTTGAAAAAATAACGTCCTACATTGTGCATATGAATATCGACAGCTTTTATCCGTTTAGCAATAGAAATTCTGGGAACACCGTGAGTACACCAATTATGAATAATTCGTTACTTATGAATGAAAATTTATTAGACACCCAAAGTCTCATGACGGCGTCCGATTGAAGTTTTCTTTTTTTTTACTCCTACGAAAAGTAATTAATAAAAATACATTTTTTTTTATTATTGAGATACGTCGGGCGTCGATTATATTCTCTGAATTTGTAGAATTTTTTTTTCTTTTCATAGACAATTTTAAGTAATAACCAAATAACAATTTACTGCGTCTGCATTTTAACAAAATGGTAAATAATTAGTAAATATTTATTTACCAATTTCTTTTTAACTCTACTTGAATTAAAATAAAAGTAAAGTCTCTATTTTGTTAAAAAAAAGAATATTTCGCAATATTAAAAAAAGTAAGTTTCAAATATTAATACTTAAAATTTTTCTAAATTCTAAAAAGTAATTTAAAAATCATGATTGATTTAAATGTTTTCTTATTTTATAAGTAAAAAAAAAAATTGTTTCAAGGGAAAGTGTGCAAAGTGATTTTGCATTTTTTTTTCTCTTTCAATAATTATGAAGTTAGAAATTTTTGAAAATTATCCTAATATCTAGTTGTTGAAAAAGGGTTAAATATTAAATAAGTGCTTAGATAACTTTTTTTTAAAAAATACTTTTAGTGAAATAGATTATATTTTCTTCCAAATGAGAAAAAATAAATAATTTTCTTTATGCACAATGTTTTTGGAAAATTTACGATTTACTGCAATAATAATATTGAACGTACTCAACGAATTTTTCGAAAAAGAAAAAAAACAACGCCTGATTATAGTTTGTAATTTATTTTTTATTTATTTGAAACGAGAGCTTATTGAGTAGTGATATATCGTTCGTATCATGTTGACATTTCAGATAATAATTTTATGTAAACTATTTTTTTAATGACAATAAAAATCCTGATATTCAAATTTTATTGTCTTTAATTGGGTGATTAAAATTAATAATTAAATATTATTAATTTCATAGTTAAGTTCATGATAATTTATATAATTTTTCCCAGCTTGAAAAAATTGATTTTTTCCGGCTATTTTGTTTTACAGTAAAATAAAATAGGATCACTTTTTTCACTATAGAGAAAGAAATTATTTATTAATTTTTTTCAATATTAAAATTTAATATTAAATAAATAGATTCACTATAAATTAAATTTTTTTTAATATTTAATTTAAATATAAATTATATATTATGATCAATTGGCTGTATTCAAAAATCTTGATCAAAATTAATTGTGTATTTATCGATAGAAATAATTCTGATCGATCACCGATGATATGGTACAAGTGATAATTACTTGTTATTGTAATTGCTACGAGTTAAGCAAACTCGAAGTGCGTGTGACGAGCACGTACTTGGAATGGTATCTCTCGTAGTATAACAATTGACTGGGTAAATTTTCCTTGAAACATATTTGAAAATTAATCGGAAGGTATTTCACTGTCTCGAAATTTAGCAATTTCACTTGTAGATAAATAATAAATATTTATCGGGTGATAATCGTTAAAATTCGACTGTCGATAACCGTTCAAACCTTAATTTAATTTTCCACTTTACTTATTTGTAAATTTCCTTGTGTTGAAGACCCGTTGATATATGTGAAAGGACAAAGGTGATAATGAAAAAAAAAAAATGAAAACAAGTTGAAATAAATGTTTTCAATTTTTTTGTTTTTACAAATTCAAAATTAAAAATTTTCAAAAACAAATTTGGTATAGCTAAAATTTTTTTTTTTCAAAATTCGGCCTTTATTTTTTGGACATAAAATATAAATAATGAAAATTGATCCCCAGCAGAGTTAGACCCACATTTTTTCATAGTTTTAATTAATTTTTCAATAAATATATATATTATCCTTAGAATTGAATTATTTTTCAAAATTTTTGATAAAATTCTTTATTAGGATTCAATTATTTTCAGAAATAATAAAATTCTTCAAAAGAAATCAATTACAGTAATAAAATTCTAATAAACAATATTCAATTATTCTCATGAAATTTTGATAGAATTCTTCGTAGGAATTCAATTATTTTTAATACAATTTTATTAAATTTTCTCTAACAAATTAAATTATTTAAATAATTTTGTTAAAAATGTTTAAAAGATTTCAATTATTTTTCAAAAGTTTTTATAAAATTCTTTATTAGAATTCAATTATTTTCAAAAATAATCAATTTCTTTACAAGAAATTAATTATTTTCAGAAATAATTAAATACTTTATACGAATTCAATTATTTTCAGAAATAATTAAATACTTTATACGAATTCAATTAGTTTCAGAAATAATAAAATTCTTTAAAAGAATTTTTTTTTTTAGGAATAATAGAATTGTTCTAAAGAATTCAATTATTTTTAGAAATTGTAAAAACAAATTCTGATAAACAATATTCAATTATTCTCATAAATTTTGATAGAATTCTTCATAGGAATTCAATTATTTTTAATACAATTTTATTAAATTTTCTCGAATAAATTAAATTATTTAAATAATTTTTTAAAAATTGTTTTAAAGTATTCAATTATTTTTCAAAAGTTTTGATAACATTCTTCAATAGAATTCAATTATTTCCAATAATAATTAAATTTTTTTCAAGAAATCAATTATTTTCAGATATAATTAAACTCTGTATACGAATTCAATTGTTTTCAGAATTAAATAAATTCTTTAAAAGAATTCAATTATTTTAAGGAATAATAAAATTCTTCTAAAGAATTCAATTATTTTTAGAAATTGTAATAAAATTCTGATGAACAATATTCAATTATTTTTATAAATTTTTTATTGAATTCTTCGTAGAAATTAAAATTTTTTTTTTTTAAATTGTTTAAAAGAATTCAATTATTTTTCAAAAGTTTTGATAAAATTCTTCGTAGGAATTCAAATTTTTTTGTATACAATTTTATTAAATTTTCTCGAATAAATTAAATTATTTAAATAATTTTTGAAAAAATGTTTAAAAGAATTTAATTATTTTTGAAAAAAATAATCAAATTTTTGATAAAATTTAAAATTTAAAATTTTAATTTAAAATTTTTAAGTTTTGATAAAATTCTTCATTAGAATTCAATTTTTTTCAAAAATAATTAACTTCTTTACAAGAATTCAATTATTTTTAGAAATTGTAATAAAATTCTTATGAATAATAATCAATTATTTTCATAAGTTTTGATAGAATTCTTCGTAGAAATTCAATTTTTTTCAATTGAATTTTATTACATTTTCTCGAATAAATTAAATTATTTAAATAAATTGTTTAAAATTTTTTTAAAAGAATTCAATTATTTTTCAAAAGTTTTGATAAAATTCTTCATTAGAATTCAATTATTTTCAAAAATAATTAACTTCTTTACAAGAAATCAATTCTTTACATCAGAAATAATTAAATTCTTTATTAGAATTCAATTATTTTGAGAAACAATAAAATTCTTTACTAGAATTCAATTATTTTCAGAAATAATAAAATTTTAATTTATTTTTCTATTTAATGGTAATTTATTGAAAATTAAATAAATAAATAAAAGTAGTTGAATGTCAATTGCCTCAGATGTGTAGAGTGGTAATTTTAAAGAAACAAAGAAATATTTCGTCTTATTGAAAACATGTTTTTATTGCAAAATATATTATAGATATTATAGAAAAATTCATGAGCATATCTAAAAATTAGTTTTTGACAAAAGTCTTACAAAAAAGCCAAAGATTTGAATATTCTCATGAATCGCTCCATATATTTTATACAATAAAATTCTTAATGATAGATATTTACAATTGTACAATAATATTTTTAAATTTCTATCTCGTACGACTATTTTTTTTTTTTGTTTGTTAACTATAAAAGAATTTCTAATAATTTATTCATTTGTCTATTAATTAATTTATTTATTTACCAATTAATTAATTAATTAATCTATTTATTTATCTATCCATTAATTAATTAATTTACCTATTTATTTATTTATCTATTAATTAATTAATTTATCTATCTATCTATTTATTTATTAATTTATTAATTTATTTATCTATCTATTTGTTTATTCATTTACACAGCCGTTTTTGAAATTTCTATAATATATTGTTTGAAAACAATATTTTTGTTAATACATATCATTAATAACTTTCTCCCACCTTCGCTTTCTATACAATATACAACGGATATTGTACTTACTATCTATTTACAATATTATATTTACAAATTTTTCTAATTTTTAAAGAAAAGAAAAAAAAGAAAAAATATTAACTAGAATATAAATTACGCATTTTTCTGCGAGCGTCAACATCAATTTCTAATTTACGTAACATTATTTCCATAGCCAAAGTTGCATCCTGTATTGAATCATGACATTCACCAGGTGCACGAATTTCTTTATTCAACACTAATTTCGACAATGTTTTTAAACTATAACAATATTGCGGTCCATTCTCATGTTTAAATACAATTGAACTGTCAATAACTCGTTTATGAATGAAACGCATAATACGAAGATCATTATAAACACCATGACCAATAATCAATGATTCGGCGTGAATAAATTGACGTAAATCATTTTGCACATCGGCCAATGTTTTTGTCGCTGTTGCCACTTCCGTTTCCGTGATACCATGAATTTCCGTTCCATAATCAACAATTTCATCGTATGGCTTAACAAAATGATCGTAAATCACATTTCCATTCATTTTCACAACAGAAATTTTAATCACCTCCATTCCACGTTTTGTGAATGCCATCTCACAATCGAGTGCATAAACGCCGTAGCGTGTTTTTTCCAGAGCCAAATCGCCAATTGGCAATGTTTCCACATAGCCGAGGAGCGATTCATTGATTCCATCGGTGAATCCACTCCACACGTGAATTGGATATGTGGCGCAATATTGACTCTCGTAAACCAAACTGCCGCAACATTGCCATTTGCCTTGAATTAATTTACCGGGATGAACGAAGCATGTCTCACCGCCGTGTAAATAATCGCCTGTTATTCCATCCATGGGAAAGAAGCGCGAGCATCTTGCACACTTTCGCAATACCTCCGTCTCGTAGAGAGTGAAATTGGAAAATTTTGTTCTCTTGAAATTCTCATATTTTCCAACGTAAACGCGAGCGTAGCCGGGATAATTTTTATCGTATTCGGGAAATCCACGGGCAAATAATTCCTGTTCATTGACGATGTAGGCTTGAAATCTCGCCTCCAATTCACGATCGCTGAATTCACTCATTTTCTCGCGTACCACACTCGTGCCAGATGTTTTTATATCGTACGATATAATTCCTGGAATTTTTGATCTATCTGTAAAAAAAAGAGAAATTTTTCTATTTAGACGGAAATATTTTTCTTATATTTTTCAAATAAGAAAATATTATTTTATATATATGTACTTTTCTACAAAGAAAATAATTATTTTTTTCAATAAAGAAACTAATTTTTTTATTTTTCTTTTCAAAAAAAAAGAAAATAATTTTCCAATTTTCCCCCACTAAAGAAAATAATTTTTCAATTTTCTCCACTAAAGAAAATAATTTTCCAATTTATTTCATTAAAAAATAATTTTCTATACTTTTGCAACAAAAGAAAATAATTTTTCTATATTATTTTTCTACAAAGAAAATAATTTTTCTATAATATTTTCCTACAAAGAAAATAAAATCATTTTCTATATTTTTGCAACAAAAGAAAATAATTTTTCTATATTATTTTTCTACAAAGAAAATAATTTTTCTATAATATTTTCCTACAAGGAAAATAATTTTCTATAAATTTTTCTACAAAGAAACTAAATTTCTACTTATTTCAATAAAGAAACTAATTTTCAACTTTTTTTCAAAAAAGGAAATAATTTTCCACTTTTATCACTAAAGCTTGTATAAAATAAAAAATAAAAAAAGCAAATATTTTTTAAACAAGAAAATATTTTTCTATGAACTTTTCAAAGTAAAGAAACTAATTTTATATTTTTCTTCAAAAAAAGTAAAGAATTCTCCTATTCTTTAAACTAAAGAAAATAATTTTACATCCAGTTTATTTTATTAAAAAAAAAAATTTTCTATTTTTTTTTCAAAAAAGAAAATAATTTTCCACTTTTAAAAAGAAACTAATTTTCTATTTTTTTTACAAAAAGGAAAAAAATTTTCCAATTTTTTTGACTAAAGAAAATAATTTTCCAGTTTATTTCACTACAAGAATAATTTTCTATTTTTTTCGAAAAAAGAAAATAATTTTCTACTTTTTTCACTAAAGAAAATAATTTTCTACTTTTTTCACTAAAGAAAATAAGTTTTGTATTGCATTTTTCAAATAGAAAAATATTTTTCTATAATCTTTTTAACAAAGTAAATAACTTTCTATATTTTTTAATATAGAAAATAATTTTTCTCACTAAAGAAAGTAATTTACCAGTTAATTTCACTAAAAAAATAATTTTCTTTTTTTTTCAACAAAAGATAATACTTTTTCTATAAGATAATACTTTTTCTATAAAATTTTCCTACAAGGAAAATAATTTTTTATAAACTTTTTTACAAAGAAAACAATTTTCTAATTTGTTAGTGAAGAAACTAATTTTATTTTTTTTCAAAACAATAAAATAATTTTCCAGAATTATTTCACTAAAAAATTATTTTTTTATTTTTTTTTAAAGAAAATAATTTTCCACTTTTTCCACTAAAGAAAATAAGTTTTCTATATACTATTATTGTATAAATTTTTCAACAAAGAAACTAATATTTGTATTATTTTGTCAAAAAAAGAAAATAATTTTCCTACTTTTTCCACTAAAGAAAATAATTTTCTATAACATTTTTTAAATAAGAAAATATTTTTCTATAAACATTTCAAAAAAGTAAATAATTTTCTATTTCTTTTTAAAAAAAAAAAAAATGATTTTCCAATTTTTTCCACTAAAGAAAATAAGTTTTCTATAATATTTTTCAAAAAAGAAAATATTTTTCTATAAATTTTTTAATAAAGAAACTAATTTTCTATGATTTTTCAAAAAAGAAAATATTTTTTTCTACAAAAAAATTAATTTTTCTATAGTATACAAACAATATGATTCTTCTATAAGATTTTTCAACAAGGAAAATAATTTTCTTTAAACTTTTCTACAAAGAAAATAATTTTCCAGTTTATTTCACTAAAAAAATAATTTTCTACTTTTTTCACTAAAGGAAATAAGTTTCTATAATATTTTCCTGCAAGGAAAATTATTATCTTTGTTGAAAAAAAAATAGAAAATTAGTTTCTTTATTGAATAAAGTGAAAATTATCTTCTTATATTTGAGAAATATTCTGGAAAAATATTTTCCTCGTTAGAAAATATTGTAGAAAAATATTTTCTACAAGGAAAATGTTTTTTCTTTATAAACTTTCTACAAAATAAATAATTTTCTGTTTTTTTTTGTAGAAAGTTTATAAAAAAAACATTTTCCTTGTAGAAAAATATTGTAAGAAAAATTATTTTTTTTTTATTGAAAAATATTGAAAATTAATATTTTTATTGGAAAAAATAGAAAATTAGTTTCTTTATTGAAAGTAATCATTTTCTTTAGAATAGTTTATAGAAAAATAATTTTTTTGGAAATTATTATAGAGAATCATTTTCCTTGTAGGAAAAATAATTTTCCATATTTTTCTACAAGGACAATGTATTTTTATTTTTTAATGTTTTATAAATAAGAAAAAATTTTTCTATTAACTTTTCTAAAAGGAAAAAAATTTTCTAGTTTTCTCAAAAAAAGGAATTAATTTTCTATTTTTTTCAATACAAAAAAATTTTTTTCTATAATATTTACCTACAAACAAAATGTTTTTTTTTATATTTCACAAATAAGAAAATAATTTTCTAATTCTTTCAGCGAAGAAAATATATTTTGTAGAAAAATATTTTCTTTTGTAGAAATAATTAGGAAAATATGTTTGTATAAATTTTTCTACATTTGAACTAATTTTTCTTTGTGGAAAAATAATTGAAGAAAATTGTTTTTCTTGTAGAAGAATATAATATAGAAAAAAAATGTCTGTGTTGAAAAATATTATGTAGAAAAATTATTTTTCTGTATAAAAATTAATAGAAAAATATTTTTTTACGTTGAAAAATATTATAGAAAATAATTTTCTGTGTTGAAAATATTTAAGTATATGGAAAAATCTTTTTTTTTTGAAAAATATTATATAGAAAAATTATTTATTTGTAGAAAACTTGATGGCAAAATATTTTCTTATTTAAAAAATGTTATAGAGAAATTATTTTCTTTATTGAAAAATATTGTAAAAAATTTATTAATTTGTATAGAAAAATATTAAGTAAAAATTAATTTCTTTGTATTGAAAAATATTACAGAAAAATATTTCTCTTGTAGGAAAATATAAAAAAAATATTTTCCATGATATTTTTCCACAAAGAAATTATTTTTCTATAATATACTATTTTTCTACAGAGAAAACAATTTTCTACAAATAAAACCCATTTTTCTTTTCACTATAACCTAAAACGCATTTTCCATTTTCTTCCCCCTATTTCTGAAAATGTGAATTTAAAATTTTGCACTTGACTTTTTAGAAATTATGTCACTTACTGTAATTTCCATTGCTTGGAATTTTCATTTTTGTAAAGGTTTTTACTCCAAAAGGTGAATTATTTAAAAGTGGATTTATCTCAACTTTTGTGGACTCGATTCGACTGTTAATCTCTCTGCTCTTTTTTTTTGAATAAAACCCAAAAATCGTTTACAATTTTGACTCTAGAATTGTCATTCAAAAAAAAAAAAAACCTTAAAGCAGTTTTCAAAATTAATTGTAGAAGGATTTAATGGAAATTTTATTATGCCGAAAACAAAAAAGGCACAAGTTTTTTGGCGGGGATTTTTTGAAAATCACCAATCAGAAATAAGTGGAAAAATTGCGATTTTTTTGAATTTTGTTTTTGGAAAAATTGTTTCGCAATGAAGGCGTATTTTAATTTCATGGATGTTTATTTATTTAAAAATTGAAAAATTATATAGAAATTATGGAATACTTTTTTTTTAATTTAATAAAAGTTAAAAATCGGCATTTCTGTTCGTGTATTTTTATAAATAAATAAAACAATAAATTTAAATAAAATTAATTTGAAAATAAATAAAAATTAGAAAATTAAAACTATGAATAAAAAAAAATTAATTTAAAGAATAACTAAAAATAGACTAAAAATATATAAATCAAAGTAAAAATTAACTAATAACACAAAGTAAATAAATAAACATTGCAAAATTACTAAAAAAAAACAGTTACAGCAAATAAATAAAAAAAATTAAAAATAAATTAAAAATAAATAAAAATAACTGAAAGGAAATAAGTGAAATTAAAAAAATAAATTAACAATAAATAATTAATAAAAAATTTAAAATTAAGAAATAAAAAAATAACGGGAAATAATGGAGAAAATGGCTAAAAATATAAGGAAAAAATAAAATTAAAATAATAACACATTATGAGTAATTAAAAATTGAAAAATAAATAAAAATGTAAAAAAATTAATGAATAAGAATCATAAAGTGAATAAAAATAATAATCTAATTGATGGAAATAAATAAATCAAAATAAGTAAATAAAAAATAACACAAAGTAATTTTGTAAAATTATTTAATTTTCTGTTTTTCTTACCCATGTCATTTTTTAGATGAACAATATCCAATTGTACTTTTTTCGTCTTGTCCTTTATTCCCTCCAGTTTTTCTGAAATGAGATTTAGAAAATTATTAATTTATTATAATTATTTATTATTACATTTATTTTAATGTAAAAATTATTTTAAATGTAAATTAAATTTTAAAAAAATTACATTATAATAAATAAAATTGAAGTAAATAAAATTAAATTGAAATAAATAAAATTAAGACAAATTAAATAAAAATATAAAAAAATAATTAATAGGAAATAAAAACAAAAATTAATAAATGAACTCAAAAAGAAATAAAATTTTTTTAAATACATGATTGATAAATATAATTTTTCAAAGAGGTTAAATTCTTCTTTATTTAATTATTTTCTTACCAAATTTTTCAGCTCGTTTAGCAGTTGATATCCCGTTGATATATGTGAAAGGACAAGGGTGATATTTCTTCCCTGTCCCTTCCAATACGTCCTCGTCCTCCCAAAAGGACCCTAGATCATTACTTGCTTTTATACAAGGAATCAACCTCATATAAAGCTTCTGAAACACACGAAAAGAAAAAAAAACAAGTTAAAATCGATTTTTGTTTTTTATAAAAAAAATAATTTCACAAAATTAACTTACAGCTGAAAATATATATTTTTGCCTTGTAAATAAAATAATATTATAAATAAAAAAAAACTAATACGTTCTTAAATTAAAAATTTCCCAAAATCTTAAAATAAGTTTTCCAATCAAAAAATTTGGTAATTATTTACAAAAAAAATAATTTGGTATAATAATTTTTTGGCAAATTGAACAAAAAAGTATTGTTTACTTTTCACGAAATGTGTGAATCACTGTAAAAAAATTCTAATTTTTCGATTGAAACTATTTATACACTTCCACATGAGTCAAAATATTGATACTTGAGAATTTAATTTTAAAACAAGTCAAAAATATTTTTAAATACGATTCGAAAAAGAAATTCAGACAAATGATTTTCAATGTAAGTTAATTTAAAAATTTTTTCTTTCTCTACACTTTTTTCACACGTTTTTAAAATGAAAAAAATGTAAAGAAACAAAATGTAAAAAAATCTATTAAGGTCTCCTTAAAAAATACTGATTAATTAATTATTATTATTGTTATTATTATTATTATTATTATTAAAAATGCAAAAAATAAACTTTTTCACTCATTTCTTGAATGTTGGACTATAAAGACACAGATGATGGTTGTTTTATGTTCATTTTTCCTCTAGTTAGTTGGTGTGGTTTTAATTTTTTCATAACAATAGTTGATGAACAATAGTCTTTTTTTGTAAAAAGACATTTTTCTTTTGAAAAACATTGAAAACTCCCGAAAATTTATCGGAAATAATCGAAGTATAGAAAAATCGCCAAACTCTCGAATATCAGTTAAAACATTGAGAATGGAGAAATAGAAAGGCATACTCGTCTCGTTGAAGATAAAAGTTTTATGAAAACGGAGCTGCAATCGTTGATATGAGCGCTAACTTTTAAATGGTGAAGTTTTAATATTTATTAATAATATTTATTAATATTTTTTCCCAAGTTATTTTGAAATAATTTGTGAAAGATAATAGTTTTTCAATTTTAAAAAATTTCCAAACAATTGAAATTTGGTAAAATCTTTTAAAAATAATTGAATTTTTTGAAAAAAAGAATAAGAAAAAAATTTTTTTTTGAAGAATTTTAATTATAAACAGGAGCATAATTTCTCAAAAATTTTAATAAGTCCAAAAAGTAAATTTTCATAAATTTTTATTTATACATTTGTTCGAAGATAGTTGAATTTAAAAAAAAATATTATTAAACAATTTTTATTAATAGATTTAAAAAATTTTTTTAATGTAATTTTTCGAAAATATTTGAATTTCTTAAAAGAATTTTTGTATAATTTAAAAAAAGTAATTAATTTTTTCAAGCATTTTAATTAAAACTTTTTACAATGATTGTTTTCTCCAAAATGTTAGAAATAATTCTGAAAAATTTTAATGTTTTTGGTATGTATTTGAATTTTTGGAAATATGTCATTGAAAATACGGAAAATATAGAATTTTAATAAATTAGAAACTAATTTTCATTAATTTTCTTTTATAAATTTATACCTTTAAAGATTTTTCATTAAAATTTTTTATATTTTATTTATTTTCAAAATTTGTAATTAAAATTCTACAAAAATTGATTTTTAAAAATTGTATAATAAATATAATTACTTGAAATACATTGATTATTTTCAATTTAATTTTAGAAAATTTTAACTATTCAAAAAGATTTTTATTATAGACAGTATTTGAAAAATTTAATTTTTATGTTTACAAAATGATTAAAAAACAATTTTTGAAAGATTTGTTTATAGTTATTTTTCGCAGTATGAAAATCAAAATAAATTGCACTTTTTTTTACTAAAAATTGTATTTTGTTGCAAAATGTTTGGAAGAAAGACGAAAAAGTTGCAATTTTTGAAAATAAGCCGAAAAAAGTCTCAATTTTCTTAATTTTTCTGACAAACTTTTTTTCCTGATATTTCTCTAAATTTACTGACAAAAAATTTGTTTCACTGACTTTACTGACTGACATTATTTTTCAACGATTTTACCAAAATTCAATTGTTTTAAAATAATTTTATCAAATTTCAATTATTTTTAAAAGATTTGGTCGAATTTCAATTATTTTTCAACGATTTTACCGCAAAATTCAATTGTTTTAAAATAATTTTAACAAATTTCAATAATTTTTAAAAGACTTTGACAAATTTCAATTATTTTTAAAAGATTTTGCCACAAAATTCAATTGTTTTAAAAATATTTTATCAAATTTTAATGATTTTTTAACGATTTTGTCGAATTTCAATTATTTTTCAACAATTTTACCTCAAAATTCAATTGTTTTAAAAGATTTTATCAAATTTCAATTATTTTTGAAAGATTTGTTCGAGTTACAATTATTTTTCAACGATTTTACCGCAAAATTCAATTGTTTTAAAATAATTTTGGCAAAATTGAATTCTTATTCAACGATTTTACCAAAATTCAATTGTTTTAAAATGATTTTATCACATTTAAATTGTTTTAAAAAGATTTTATCAAATTTCAATTATTTTTAAAAGATATTGTGGAATTTCAATAATATTTCAACAATTTTACCTCAAAATTCAATTTTTTTTAAAATGATTTTATCAAATTTTAATTATTTTTAAAAGATTTTGACAAATTTCAATTATTTTTCAACAATTTTACCGCAAAATTCAATTGTTTTAAAATGTTCTTATCACATTTAAATTGTTTTAAAAAGACTTTATCAAATTTCAATTATTTTTAAGAGATTTTGTCAAAATTTAATGGTTTTTCAACGATTTTACCAAAATTCAATTGTTTTTCAAAAATTTTACCAAATTTAAATTCTTTTAAAAAGTTTTTATTAAATTTATATAATTTTTAAAAGATTTTGACAAATTTCAATTATTTTTAAAAGATTTTGCCACAATATTCTGATGTTTTAAAAAGATTTTGACAAAATTCAATTGTTATTCAACGATTTGACAAAAATTCAATTGTTTTAAAAAGATTTTATCAAATTTCAATTATTTTTAAAAGATATTGTGGAATTTCAATAATATTTCAACAATTTTACTTTAAAAATTCAATTGTTTTAAAAAGATTTTATCAAATTTCAATTATTTTTAAAAGATATTGTGGAATTTCAATAATATTTCAACAATTTTACCTTAAAAATTCAATTGTTTTAAAAAGATTTTATCAAATTTCAATTATTTTAAAAAGATTTTGTCAAATTTCAATTATTTTTTACAAATTTTACCACGAAATTCATTTGTTTTAATAATATTTTAAATAACCGATAGGTTGGGTTTGGTTGGTTCATTTTAATATATAAATTTAAAAATTTTGCTTTCAAAGAATAAGAATTAGTCACTTCAAGCAAATTTTTAGTTGAATCAAAGAAATGTTCGGTTAAGAAAACATGTTTGCGGTTGGCAAGGCATTTATTTGGTTAATTCACCAAAAAATGTTTTTTTTTAAATACAGTTTATTCTCAGTGAAAATTTATATTAAAATTTGATCTTAATAATTAGTCATAAATTTGAAGACATATATTTATAAAAAGAACAACAAGGTTTCTTGACTACATATATATTTTATGTAATTAAGTCAGAACACTTATTTTCATATTTATTTTATTACCTTCAAAAATTCTTGTCTAAATGATTTGAGGAAATTTAGAACAAAATTTATATTCAATTAACATAAAAGCAATCTAGAAAGTTTTCTATTGTTCAAGAGCTCTGTAAATATTTACAATAGAAGCACATTTCTTCATATTCAATATGAAACTTTATTCTTTGTAATGATTATTGGATAAGTATTCTAGTATTATAATTAATATTACTTACATATCAACGGGATTTATTTGTCTATAGTTGTCTAGTTGTTGTATTATTGTTACAGAACGGTTGCTTATTTTTTACCCTCCTGATGGGGTAATAGAGTCAGTAAAAGTGAAAAAAAAAACAAGTACACTTCACTTTCAGAACACAATTTTTTTTTGTAAGTGAATATATAAACTGATTATATAAACAAGTGTATAAAATAATTAAAAAATTGATGGAATCATCATAATGGAATCATCATTTTTATAAAAGCATAAAATGTTTAAAAAATATTTTTCAGAATAATATTAAATTAAGAAATATTGAAAAATCGTCAAAAATATTTAAAAACTTATTTGAACTTTCTTTTTAATTTCTCAGGACGAAAGTCAATGAAAAACTGTTGCTCTTCGATTTTGATGATGAGCAGAAAGCCTTCCTTCGATGTACACACTTTTCGTATGCCTCGCCCATTCCCGCCCTTTTCTAATTGTAAGCTCTTAAAATCCATTGGAGGGGATAGGTTTCGAAAAGAAAGTAGTGGGGGGTTAAAGCTTTCCCCCTCCCAAATTAAAAATTGGGGCCGAAAAATTTGGGAAAGTTGTGCTAAGGGCTTACAAACGGAGGATAAACATTATAAAACTTCTTTGTTTTAATTAAAATGTTTTTTTTTAATTTTTCAAACAATTATTGGGATAATATTAAACATTAAAAAATAGTATAGTGGTTAGAGATTAAGTATTAGATTAAATAATCCTTTAAATAATTTTTTTCCATATGAGCTAAAAGGGTCTAAAAATTTGTGACATCCTCAAATATCCTAAGTTTTATTTTAATGCTGATAACTGATTTTTAGTTATTTTAGTTAATTTTTAGTTAATGATAAACATAGCCAAGTATCGTTGCAATAAAAAATTGTTAGTATTTCGTAATTTTTAGGAAAGTTGACAAAAACAACATCTCTCTCTCTACTTATATATATTACACCTTAGAGATAATGATCTTAAAAGGAATATAAAATCTAATTTTCAAAAGGAAAGACCCATTTTTATTAAAGACCTTTTAAAGAAAAGCAGATAATGGGAAAATTTATTTTTTCTATTACCCTCATTGACGTACTTTCCTACCATTAAAATAGTATTTATTTTAAAGAATTTTCTTGACTCCCTAATCCAAAAAGGCAGTTCAGGCAGTTCAGACGTCTCCACAACTCTTTGTCTTACTTTCTACCTGCAATTTGCTGAAAATCTTTTAGATTTCGAGCATTTTAGCTGGTTTAAACTTTTAAAGTTAAGGCCAAGCTGCTTATATAATGAAAAGTCATGTAGTCAAAAAGGGAAAAAGTTATGCTATACACTATAGAAAAATAAAAATTCAAATGAGCTGTAAATTAAATTTTTAACTTCCCAAAGTTGACTCTTGGTTGTACTATATGGAAAGAGAAAATAAAATGGGTAGTAAATTAAAAAATTTTAACTTCTAATTTGACTTTTGGTTTACAACCAACTATATGGCTAAAACAAATTATGGAAAGGCCTATTAAATAAGCCATAATTTTTCATTTTGGGCCATAACAGTGTTATAAAAATCTGTATAAAACAAATATATATATACAAGATTACGAATGACTTTTCTTTCAAATTTGCAATAATGCTTTTGAACACTGAAGAAATAATAATTTTTTTGAGTTTAGATTTAAATCAAACTATAATCATTGCCACAGATTTAAATTTAATTGAAATGTATTTATTTGTCAATTTTTGTTTTTGGTGGAAAGGATATTTTTCCAAAGTTAGTTTTAATTGTGACAATCAGTGCCTGACTTTTTGCTTCCAATCACTTATTTTTAACTGATTGGAAGCAAAAAGTCCGGTACTGATTGTCACAGTATGAAAATGACTTATTTCCAGTAAAAAAATAACTGAAAAATTAGTTAATGTTGACTGATTGAATCCGTTAAAAAAATCTACTGAATCAGTTATTTTACATAACTGACAATGAGTTATTTACTAATTTTTATCTGATTCAAGTGAGTAATTTACGATAATTTCTAACAGTGAATCTAGTGAATATTTACTTGCGGCTAACAATAATAATTCCAGAGTAAATAAACCAGACACAAACCAGTAGTTTTACAACCTTCCTGTTTATGAAAGTGAAAGGATTGATTATTTTTTTCAAATGTCTGCCTTATCAACTAACGATACAATAGTTTGGTAAATAGTTTCTTCAACTCAATTTCTTTCCTATTATATTACACTATGGTAACAAATTATTAAAACAAAAAAAAAAAATACAAAAATTCCGAAAGAAAATATCGAAAATAGTTCAGGAATTTATCGCGTGGTGTACAACTGTCGCGAGTCTACATTTTGTTTTGTCGCAGCCTTAAGAAGAATCGATAACGAATCAACGTCATTTACGTCATTTGACTTCCCTTTTTTTTGGGATATAAACTCAGTTCCATTTTGAATGTTGTGTTTGTATATGTCGAAAATTGTAAGTCGCAGGTGAATTCAAATGATTTCTTATTCTTTATACCTTTGATAATAAAAATTTAGAGAAAGGAAGAATTCCTAACAAAAGAAAACAAAAATGAATGTAATATATAAAATATCGTCGTTTTTAATCTTAACAATCTTCTCACATATTGGACAGTGTAAGATTCAAATTAATGAAAATTCAAATCATGTTGCAAGTTATCCATTACTTATGCCAAACGTCAGTCCGAAGGTGGTAAGTATTTTTTTTTTAAATGTTAATTTTTAATATTGTTTATATATTTGTACATCTGTTTAAATATCACTTTATGTTTTTTTTACATGTTTGTGTTTTTGTTAAGTATTTTTAATTTTATTTTATTCTTTATTAAAAAGAATACTCTATAGATTTTGAAATTACATTTCACTGTGGGATAATTATAAGTGCATTTATATTATAATTTATAATATAATATAATTTATAAATATAGTACAAAACAATGGATTTTCTTGATACGTCTGGTATATTATTCATTACGTTTTTGTTTGTAACTATTTTTGTATCTTAAAACTAAATTGTACTTAAAATCATATATTTTTTTACATTTATTAAAAAAATGGTTATAAACATTCTTCTTATAAACGGTTTTAGTAAAAAATGGACTGAAAGTAAGATGTATTTTTTACAATGTAATTTTTACTATGCTCTTGAAGTTTTTAATTTTAAATTATTATTAGTATCAATATCAATGTTAATAATAAATAAATAAATAAATATTAATATTAATAAAAAAAAATAAAAAAAAAATTAATATTAATATTATTAATATTATTAATATTAATATTAATATTGATATTAATATTAATATTAATTTTAAATTAATATATTTTTAGTTGTTTTTAAAAAATTTATTAGTTTTTTATTTGAATAATAATAGTAACAATTATTATCTTCATTAAACTATAATCGCACTTTACATATGTTAGTACTGATAAATTTTCTATTTGTTTTCTATTTGTTTTCTATTTTTTTTGTTAATTATCATTTTTTACTATATTTTTAAACATATTTCACCTTGTCAAAGAATAAAATATAGTTTTTACTGTCAAAAAAATGGTTTTTATGGTGCAATTTGAAAAGTAGTTAACTTAAATTGTTGCCAACTTTTTTTTTTATCTCATCCGGTGTGTAAAGAATATACATAAAGTTCTTTTCATTTTTTCCTTTCCTTTTGTTGTTGGAAAATAAAAAAATAATTTTCTATTATCTAAATATTCAAATAAAATGCACACAAAAAAGAACTTTTATTTCTTTTGCAAGTTAAAATTTTGATTTTAGGATGAATTTTAGGATGAAAATAAAAATTATTGTAAACATTAAATTATAATTTATAGTTTGTTTTTATTATTTAATTTATTTTCATAATTTTGGTTGGTTCATTTTGTCAAATTTCCATTATTTTTCAACGATTTTACCAAAATTTAATTGTTTTAAAATAATTTTATCAAATTTCAATAATTTTTAAAAGACTTTAAAAAATTTCAATTATTTTTAACAGATTTTGCCACAAAATTCAATTGTTTTAAAAATATTTTATCAAATTTCAATTATTTTTAAAAGATTTTGTCGAATTTCAATTATTTTTCAACAATTTTACCGCAAAATTCAATTGTTTTAAAAGATTTTATCAAATTTCAATTATTTTTTTTAAAAGATTTGGTCGAATTTCAATTATTTTTTAACGATTTTACCGCAAAATTCAATAATTTTTAAAAGATTTTGACGAATTTCAATTATTTTTCAACAATTTTACTGCAAAATTCAATTGTTTTAAAATGATATTATCACATTTCAATTGTTTTAAAAAGATTTTGTTACATTTCAATTATTTTTCAACAATTTACCTCAAAATTCAATTGTTTTAAAAGATTTGGTTATTAGTTTTTATTTATTTTACTATATTTATATTATATTATATTATATTATATTATATTATATTATATTATATTATATTATATTATATTATATTATATTATATTATATTATATTATATTATATTATATTATATTATATTATATTATATTAAAAATATTTTAAAAATATTAATATTAATATTTTTAAATATAAATATAATATTTATTATATTAACATTATATCATATTATAAATAAATAAATATTACACTTTAAATTATTATTATCATAAACGAAAGAAGTGGTCATAACAGAAGATTAGTTTCATATTTTTTGTCACTTCTGTTTTTAATAACTGGTTTTATATACGGGGTGTCCATAAAGTTCGAAAACGATTTAATATTAAAAATTTTAGAATATTTTATTTATTTATTTATTTATTTAATCAAATATACGGGCTGTGTCCATTCGTACATTGTACTAATAATAAGAATAACAGAATTAATTGTTAAATATAATAATTATAATAAATATAATAATTTAATTTTCCAAAATAGGAAAAAGAAACTTAATAATGAATATTAAAAATGATTCGTTTTTGTGCCGATTGGACACCCAGTATATATTATTGTTTTGTGATTCCCGTTTTATCTTCATTCATAAAAGTTATTCTTTATTAAAAAAAAATCAAGAGGAAAATATTGATATGTAATCAAAAAATTAAAATTAACATGAAATTATTATATAACTGATATTTACTCAGATGAATTACTTTATTTTTTATTTTGCGCCTTATTTAATTATTTTCGATTTTTTTTTAATTAAAAAAAAAAAATTTAATGTATTTGATGTTAAAAAATAAACATCTTCTCTAAATTTGAAAATAAGGATAAGTATATGACGCTAGTTGAAATTAGCGTCTACACGCTGTTGATTAGCGTTTTCGTGATTTTGTTTATCGAACAGAGGTTAATTGACGCTAACGTCATAGTTAGCGTGTTTACGCTGTGATAATTATACTTACGCTGTGGATTAGTTTAAATTTAAAAATTTTTTAATTTTACTTATTTTGATTTAGAGAGTACTTAACATCAAATACACTTTCTTTATTTTTTATTATTAATAATTTTATTAATTATTAATGATAAATTTATTTATAAATTATGGGGTTGTTCATAAACTACGTCACGCTATTTTGCACGTTATTATATATTATATATTAATAATAATAATAGTAATAATAATAATAATAATAATAATAATAATAATAATAATAATAATAATAAATAATAAATAATAATTAGCTTAGCGTAAAGTAGTTTATGAACGATCCTTTATAAATATGTTTATAAATAATAAAATAATTGAAAATTAATAATAATTAATAAATATTTATATTATGTGACGCGCTCTGAAGAAAGGTACCTAACGTACCTAAGAAGGTAATTGAAGGTTGTGTTCGTGTTCCGAAAGTTACAAGCATAACCTAAAATTTTCGGCTTTTTAGTCTAGATACCTTTCTTCGAAGCACGTAATTTTTGGAATGAGTTTGAAATTAATTTTATAAATATTTATTTTACAGCCAGAACTGTATTTATGTACACCGGTAAGGGTGGACAGTTCAAAAGATTATTATATCATTGGCTTTGAACCGAATGCAACAATGCAAACGGCACACCATATGCTCATTTATGGTTGCACTAAGCCAGGTAGTTCGAAATCAATTTGGAATTGTGGAGAAATGACGAGAGGATCAACAGACAATGGTCTTCCTCTAGCTGCTGCTTGTAGTGGTGGCTCACAGGTGCGAACATTGCTAATTTTATATTTATAATTAAAAATACATTAAAAGAAAAAAAAACGGTTCATTTATTTTGAACATTACTAATTTTACTTAAAAATTAAAACATTTCTTGCCATGTTGGTTGAGACGTTCTGCCTATGGCACTCAAAGGATCAAGAAATATTAAAAACTAAAATCAAAAACTAAAATCATAAACTAAAATCAAAAACTAAAATCAAAAACTAAAATCATAAACTAAAATCAAAAACTAAAATCAAAAACTAAAATCATAAACTAAAATCAAAACTAAAATCAAAAACTAAAATTAAAAATTAAAATTAAAAACTAAACTGATATTAAAGACTAATACAACTATTTTTCACTAACAGATCATCTACGCCTGGGCAAAGAATGCTTTACGTTTAAATCTACCAAAAGACGTGGGCTTCAAAGTTGGTGGCCAAACAAAAATTCAATACCTCGTCCTTCAAGTACACTACGCACATGTCGATCATTTTTTGGATGGCAGTACCGACGATTCGGGTGTATTTCTTCACTATACATTGAAACCAATGTCAAATCAAGCCGGTGTCTATTTACTTGGAACCGGTGGCAGTATTAGAGCAAGATCAACTGAATTAATGGAAGTGGCATGCTCCTTGGATGAGAATAAAACAATTTATCCATTCGCCTATCGTGTGCATACACATTCATTGGGCCATTTGGTCTCTGGCTATGCCATTGAACCAAGAACAAATGAATGGATTGAATTGGGTAAAATGGATCCACAGAGAGCACAAATGTTCTATCCGATACATAATAAAAATCCAATCTATCAGAATTTTACATTGGCTGCAAGATGCACGATGATCAGTAATCGTGATCGTGTCACGTACATTGGCAGTACGAATAAAGATGAAATGTGTAATTTTTATTTAATGTACTATGTGAAAGGTGGTGAACCACTTAACGATAAATATTGCTTCAGTGCTGGACCACCTTTTTATTCATGGAAAACGCAAGGTTATAGAAATATTCCCGATAAAGAAGCATCAACTATGGGAAAGTTGCCTGATTATATAAAGGAAGAATAAATTCTCCGAGAATTTTTTTTTTCTTAATCAACAAATTGATGCTAGAAAATTGGATCAAAGTGATGTTTTTGATTTTAGGCCTCTGCTGATGTTGAAATATTTTTCAGACTTTTGAAATTGGATCTAAATCAGAATTGTCAGAATTGTCAGAAATGGTCAGAAATGCTCAGATTGGACACCTTGGACAATAGTCCAAGGTGCCCAATCTGACCATTTCTGACCATAAGGATCGTTGGCGACAGCAGAGGTTTAATAAACCTCTTAAAGGAATGTCAAAGTCAACTGGACTTTTTCAGCTACTAAGGAACTGATTCGACCTTGACAGTCATTTTAAGGATTAATTCTTAAGGGCATGTGGGAGAAAAAGTGGTTGAAACTTTTGCAGATTTCGACTCTTGTTTCTTGTATTTTAAACTTTCTTACAAATTGCATCAGATCAGTTTATTTTATTTATTAAAGGAAAAATACAAGGAAAACCACTTTTTTGGGAAGAGTTTTCTCCTGCATGGCCTTAAATACAGATTGAAGAAATTTTGACGAATTTTTGAACCAAAAAAAAACTGTATAAAACTTCTCCGGAAAGTTTTTAACATTCTGAATCTGAATCTGACCTTAAATTCAACCCAAAACGTCAGATTTTTAAAATGCACTAAACTAAAAGTGCAAAAAAATATTTTTAAGGTCATGTAACATGGGGAGAAAATTTTTTTATCGAACTGTTCGTAGCGCCATCTAAAAGTGCATTTCTTCCCCAGTAAAAAACTAATTAAGAAATTAATTAATTAACTAATTCTAAAAGATTTTGTCAAATTTCTATAATTTTTCAACGATTTTACAGCAAAATTCAATTGTTTTAAAAAGATTTTGTCAAATTTCCATTATTTTTCAACGATTTTACCAAAATTCAATTGTTTTAAAATAATTTTATCAAATTTCAATAATTTTTAAAAGATTTTGACAAAATTTCAATTGTTTTTAAAAGATTTTGCCACAAAATTCAATTGTTTTAAAAATAATTTATCAAATTTTTAATGATTTTTTAACGATTTTGTCGAATTTCAATTATTTTTCAACAATTTTAACTCAAAATTCAATAATTTTTAAATGATTTTGACAAGTTTTAATTATTTTTCAACAATTTTACCGCAAAATTCAATTGTTTTAAAATGATTTTGGCAAAATTCAATTCTTATTCAACGATTTTCCAAAAATTCAATTGTTCTAAAAAGATTTTCTAAAAATTTCAATTATTTTAAAAAGATTTTGTCAAATTTCAATTATATTTCAACGCAATTTTACCTCAAAATTCAATTATTTTAAAAATATTTTATCAAAATTCAATGGTTTTTCAATGATTTTACAAAAATTCAATTGTTTTAAAAAGAATTTATCAAATTTCAATTATTTTAAAATATTTTACCAAAATTCAATTGTTTTAAAAAGATTTTACCAAAATTCAATTGTTTTTAAAAGATTTTGTCGAATTTAAATTAGTTTTCAACAATTTTACCTTAAAATTTAATTGTTTTTAAACAATTTTACCAAATTTAAATTGTTTTAAAAAGTGTTTATTAAATTTATATAATTTTTAAAAGATTTTGACAAATTTCAATTATTTTTAAATGATATTGTGGAATTTAAATAATATTTTAACAATTTTACCTTAAAAACTCAATTGTTTTAAAAATAATTTATCAAATTTTAATTATTTTTCAACGATTTTACTGTAAAATTCAATTGTTTTAAAATAATTTTATCACATTTAAATTGTTTTAAAAAGATTTTATCAAATTTCAATTATTTTTAAAAGATTTTGTCAAAATTTAATGGTTTTTCAACGATTTTACTAAAATTCAATTGTTTTAAAAGATTTTATCAAATTTCAATTATTTTAAAATATTTTGCCACAAAATCAAATTTTTTTATAAAGATTTTACCAAAATTCAATTGTTTTTAAAAGATTTTGTCGAATTTAAATTAGTTTTCAACAATTTTACCTAAAAATTCAATGGTTTATATAACAATTTTACCAAATTTAAATTGTTTTAAAAAGTTTTTATTACATTTATATAATTTTTAAAAAATTTTGACAAATTTTAATTATTTTTAAAAGATTTTGCCACAAAATTCATTTGTTTTAAAAAGATTTTAACAAAATTCAATTGTTATTCAACGATTTTACAAAAATTCAATTGTTTTAAAAAGATTTTATAAAATTTCAATTATTTGTTAACGATTTTACAGCAAAATTCAATTGTTTTAAAAAGATTTCATCAAATTTCAATTATTTTAAAAAGATTTTGTCAAATTTTAATTATTTTTTAATAACTTTTTAATAACTTTTTTTGAATACTTTCTTAAAATGACGCTACGAATTTCTAAAAAAAATTATTGTCTCTTTATAGTTGAGTGACTCTAAAAATAGTAAGAAAATAATTTTTTTTTTTTTTTTTTTTTTTTTTTTTTTAGAAAATAATATTCTTAAAAATTTTAAGAATAATTCTCAGGTTATTTTGGATTTGAAAATGTGAAAAACTTTTTGGACAAGTATTAAGATTCGAAAAAATTTTATTCGTCCTGTAAAATGAAAAAAAAGAACTTTGACTGTCAAACTTTGAAATTTAACCTAAAGTTAAGTTTTCTTAATCTAGTGTTTAAGTTTTCTTTATTGAAAATTATCTTTTTCTATAAAGAAACTGAAAAATTTCAGTCTTTTCGATAAAATTTTGTAAGATGATAAATAACATATCAAACTTACCAATTTATAATTCTTCAGTTTTTTTTCAATTTTTTATTTCATATGAAACTGAAAAAGTATTGAAAAAAAAAATTAAAAATAAGAGACTGACTTGCATTTTTAACTAATTAAATTTCAAAGTTTGATTCTTTCATAATTTCAAATATTTTTCTCGTCAATTGTTTTATTTTCCAAAAAAAGTATTTTTTAATCAATGGCATAATATTGGCTCAAAAACCAATTTTTTACAATCAAGGCTCAGTGTACTTTATATTTATCGCAATAATTCATCTTTAAATGTTACTTAATTTTGAAAAAGGTGGACGCTAGTCATGAAAATATGGACTCAACGGGAAGACTGAATTTTGAATTTCATTATTTATTTATTAATTTTTAAAGTCTTTTGTGCCCAAGCAATGTAAATATCTCATTTTTTATTTTAAGTTCAATGTGAACGACATATAATCAAAATAACAGCGTTATACGAATTTCAATTTCAATTTGAAAAAAATATTAAAAAAATGAAAAATTGAAAAAAAATGCAAAATTTCAAAAGAATACAAAACTTAAAAATTTTCATCTATATTTTCAAATTAATTTCAGTCAACTAGCACAAAATGAAAAAATGAGAAGTTTTTGAGCCAAGAAAAAAATTTTGTTTTTTCTCTGTTGAATTGATTATATATTCTAATTATGATAAAAGTGGTTGTGAATTGTTTATTATCTATTTTTAATAATGAGACAGAAATTTTATTAAAAGAAAGAAAAATGTGTATTAGAAATAAAATAGGAAAAAAATGTCAAGTTTACGAAAGGCAAATAATTTATTTTACAATTTTTAAAAATTCTACTTTGAAAAAAAAGAAACAACAGAAGAATTTCCGTTTATATTTGAAAACTTATAATATACAAAAGGAGGAAATAAATAACTGTACAAAAGTAGACGAATGTGCCGAGCCTATTTGTGGTATTAGTTATTAAATATTTTAACAATATTATTATTTTCTTATTATAATTAATCTCAGGAAGGTAAAAAGCCAGTGTGACTGCAAAGTAGTAAAAAAGTATTTAAAATTTTTAATATTTATCATTTTCATTCTTTTCCGATTTTGACAAAAAATGAAAGATGATGATGCTTTTTTTCTACGTATGTCAATTATTATTTTTCAAGACTATAACAAAACGCCGCCTAGATTTTTATTATTTTAATATTAAATTTATTTAAATTAATTATTAAATTAAAATTTTATTCAACACTGAGAAAATAGTTTATTTTCTCAAAATAATTTTGCACTTACAGTAAAACCTGTCGGAATGCAACTCGTTTTTCAAAATTTTATTATTGTAAACAAGAATTGTTTTATAATTGAATTTTATTTTTTACAATATTCTGGAACTAAATGAAAATACCTAATTCTTGTTTATTTTTGAAAACAAAAAATTTTTTTTTGAGTTGCATTCCAACAGGTTTTACTGTAATCAAATTTTTTTGATTTGAGTGAATAATTTATTTCACTTTTCCTCACGTAGGACATTTTATGATAGTATAATAATTAATAATATTGAAATATGGGATTAAAAATATTTTTCTCAGTGTATTAATTTTTATTTCTGTGCAATTATTCTGTCCCGAAAATAGAGACCAATTTTTGATCCGATCTCGCACAAAAAATTACTGCATTCAGTAAAATGTAAAAAATATTTTATAACTACTGACGTTATGAATTAATTAATAGTTTATTAATAATTAAATAATTGAATAATTGAATAATTTAAATAATAAGTAAAGTAAATAAATGAATATCAATTATATTAATTTGTATGATAATATTATTAATTAATTAATTTTTATTGTTTATTTTATAACTACTGACGTTATGAATTAATTAATAGTTTATTAATAATTAAATAATTGAATAATTGAATAATTTAAATAATAAGTAAAGTAAATAAATGAATATCAATTATATTAATTTGTATGATAATATTATTAATTAATTAATTTTTATTGTTTAACTTTTACTTATTAATTTTTATTGTTTAACTTTTACTAATTAATTTTTATTATTTAATTTCTATTACTTAATTTTTATTATTCAATTTTTATTTTATTATCTACTTTTTATTAATTAATTATTAATTAATTTTTTTTATTAATTAATTATTAATTAATTTTTTTAATTAATTAATTAATTAGTCATAAGTATTGTAATGATTAATTATTAAACAGTTTTATTTATTAATTTGCCAACATTCCAGAAAGTGCATTTCGATATTTATTTTCCAGTGGAAGTTTTCGTTAATTGCAATTGAATTTAATAAATATTTTTAGTTTTTTTTTTAACTACTTTTTTTTTAATTTTAGGATATGTCTAAATAATAGGATGTCATGTGCAAACGAGAAAACGGCTCTCTCATAAATTATTATTAATTATTAAAAAATTAATTTCAAAAAGCAAAAATAAAAAAAAATTTGTGCTTTGGGATTAGATCGTATATTTTAAAAAGAAATTATACATTCATCGAGTTACAGTAGATTTTTTTTTAAATATTTTTTTTTTATTATAACAAATTTAAAATAAATTTTTTTTTTAAATTTTATTATGATCATCATATCACTATATTTGTATAATGTATATACACACACTATGAGCATAAATGGAACCAAGAAATGTTAAAGATATATTTTGACAATATTATGATATGTTACCTTGTTCGCAAAGTTTATAATAACGCTAATATTTTTCATCAATAATTATTGTTTTTTGTGAAAACAGAGAGAGATATATATTGCAGTAAAGAAAGAGAGAGAGAGAGAGAGAGAGAGAATTGAAGATAAAAAATAAGTATCTGTATTTTCTGATATGTGTCTGAACAGACTTTGTAAAATCTACTCTATGTATTCTGTAAATTGCTATATTCCATTAAAAATTACAAACTAAAAAAAAAATTATTTTATTACAAGAACCTTTTTCTTTCAATACACTGCAAAAAATTAAGTATTTTAAAAGTGGCTACAAAGTTATTTAAAACATCTTATAATTAAGTTGTTTAGGTCAGAATCATCTTAATATAAGATTATTTTAAGTTTGTTGCTTTTTTCTGATTTCTTTTTTTCAAAATTCGCGCCAGATTATTAGTGTTAAGCAACAGCAGCGCCTCTAGAATAATGGCGCCAATATTTGAAAATATAAGTAAATTTAATTAATAGCAATATTAATAATAATATAAATAATAATATTAATAATAATATTAATAATAATGATATTAATAATAAATATAATAATAATGTTATTAATAATAAATATAATAATAAATAATAATAAAATAATAATAAAATAATAATAATATTAATAATAGTAATTTGATTGACAATTGTTTCGTCAATAATTCCGGGAAAATTCAAATAATAAATTTAATTAAATTTTAAGGTAAATTTAATTTGAATTTTTAACTAACTTTGTAGTCACTTTGAAGATATTTCTTTTTGCAGTGCACTTTCTTGTGTGTTAAATTTTTACAAACTTTTTTTTAAAAACGTAAAAAGTATATTTTGTTGCTTTCTTGTTCTTTTTGATTTTAATTCAATACGAGGGAAGTGACTAATCAATATATACGCATGGTTTATAACATTATAACTATAAGAGAAAAGTGAATGCTGAAGTGGTATCCTCATTTTTTTTCTTCTTCATATAATATAAATATCCTGTTTTTAATTAAACGAGTAATTATTTATGTGTTTTGATTAGTATTTTTTTTTTTTTTTTTTTATTAGTATATGTATAGTGATCAATGTTAATGAAGAAGTTCTTCTTGATTAAGAAATCAATATTATATTAACAGTCATTATTTTTCTTCTAGAGAGATTTTGAAGAGAATAATTTTAATATTTTTCATTTATAATCGTACTTTTATGTTAATGAGAAAAAATAGAAGAGAAAAAACTGAAAAAGCAAATATGTAGAAACGTGTATGAAATTTGAACCCTCTAGACGTCTTCAACCCTCTTTTTTTTAATTTCTTAGTTTGCCAAAAAAGACTGAAAAACTAACATTTGAATTATTTTTTTTTAATTTCGAATTTTGTCAATAATAATAATTGTCATTTGACAAAAAAAACTAATATTTGAATTATTTAAATTGTAAAATATGGAAAATTTGTCATTTTTTTGCTTTTTCTGATTTCTTTTTTTAAAATTCGCGCCAAACTTCTAGTGATAAGCAACAGCAGCGCCTCTAGAATAATGGCGGCAATATTTGAAAAAGAAAATTATAATTCGGTCTATTTTACAAATACTAACAGAAATTATAACATTTCAATTAATTCTAGTGATATTTTAACAGTATTTAACATCAAACTTTAAAATTTAATCTATAGTTAAGTTTTCTTTAAAAAAATCATTTAAAAAAAAGAAAAAAAAATAAGACTGCAGTCTTTTATTTTAATTTATCGTCATGGCGTTCGTTTTTAGCTTTATAATTAAATTTTAAAGTTTGATTGTCACATACATTGTCATTTTCTTTATTTTGCTAAAAAGTATTCTTAAATTTAACAAGTGGAAAATTATATTTTATGTGTAGGACTGATCTCGAAGTGGCCTTAAGAGTGAAACTACACGCGGGCAGTCATTTTATTTTCTGAGGTTCGATCCAAGGTTCAATCCCCAAAGGTAAGATTTTTTCTCAAGTATATAAAAATATTTTAACTTTAAATATGTTTTTAAATTTTAAATGTTTTTAACCCTAAACTCCCAAACATAGCTGTCTTAAACCATACATTCCCTAAATTGGGGTAATAAACATGGTGTCCAGCTATTACAATTATTTTTGTTACCTTAAAAAAAGGTGTATTTTAAAAATTGAAAAACTTGAAAAAATAGGCAAAAATAAATAAAAAAAGTTACATATTACCCCCCTAACTAGGGTACCAATATAACCCCAAGAAATTAGAAAGTTATGAAGTCTAGGGTTAATAATAAATTACCTTTCTTGTTTCTTGAAAATTTTTTTTTTATTTTTTTTTCAATTTTTTTTAAAGAACCACTTTTGCGAGAGGGATTTTAATTTTAGTTTCGGTTTGAAGATATATTCCAAAATATATTGCGTGCAATATCGTACGATTCCCCCTGGAGATCGTGATTCACCTGAATATATATATATATATATTTATTCTTGTATACCTATACATGTATATTTATATATACATACACGTAAAAAGTCGCTTCCCTTACATCCTACTAGCGCACTTGACTTATATTTTTTTTGCATTATTAACGGTATTTTTACGTCGGCTGAGAAAAATCTTGAGGAATTCACGGACAGGAAGCAGGGGCATGCCGGACAAGGGACACATAAGAGAGTCAATTCAAGTTTGCACGAGACTGTCGATCGTTACGTGGAATCGGCAAGAAATAGTGTGTTTCTGGAACTCACGTACCATTCAGACAGCTCGCGATATCCTCGCAATCGTTTTCTTTGTCGAGACAATGTCATCACGCCTCTTCTATATAAACAATAATACACACATAACATATATGTACATTATACTCATAATTCTACTCCGGTATGCCCATGTACTTCAAAATTCAAAATTCACCTCAAAATTCTTATCAATATATATGAAAATTCTTTTTTGAATTCAAAAAAAAAATTCTGAATTTTGCCACAAGTAATTTAATGTATTCAGGCCTGTGTTATTATTTTAAAATATAACACAGGCCTAAATGCATTTTTTTTATTTTTGATGTTGGGGCAATTTTAAATGTATTCTTGTTCGCTGGAAAAAAATCGCGGGTTGTAAAATTTAACAAACAGGTCAGAATTTTGAGAATAGTGAGGTAAGAACCTTAAAAAATACGTTTAGTTGAGTCATTACCCCAAGTTTTGCAAAATAGTGATTTGCTAGGCAATTTCGGTACACTGGATCGTATTCAGTGGGTAGAAATACATAGAAAAGCACTACGATATCAAAAGTTAAAAAAAAAAATTTTTTTTGGTTTTTACCCCCACTTTTTTTCAAAATGCTGACGTCCGGAGCAATTTTGGTACCCAGAATCGTGTTCAGCGGACAAAAATACATTGAAAACCAGTCTAATATCAAAAATTACAACAAACAAAATTTTTTTGGGCTGTTTACCCCACTTTTTTCAAAATGCTGACATCCGGAGCAATTTTGGAACTCGGAATCGTGTTCAGCGGACAAAAATACATTGAAAATCACTCCGATATCAAAGATTACGAAAAACAAAAATTTTTTTGGTTGTTTACCCCCACTTTTTTCAAAATACTGACGTACGGAGCAATTTTGGAATCCAAAATCGTGTTCAGCGGACAAAAATACATTGAAAACCACTCCGATATCGAAAATTACGAAAAAAAATTTTTTGAGGGTGTTTACCCCCACTTTTTTCAAAAGTCTCAATTTTTTTTGGTCCTTTGCAATCTGGTACTTAAAGTGTTCACTTCAGTCTTCAATTTAAGATTCGTTTAATTTAATTTGATCCAAAATTCGTTTCTAGGACGTCAAGTTAATATAAAAAAAAATTTGCAAACCCTCAAAAACACGTTTATTTGGGTATTTACCCCACTTTCTTCAAAATTGTGAACTGCTGGGCAATTTCGGTACCCGGGATCATATTCAGTGGGCAAAAATACATAGATAAGCGCTCGGATATAAAAAATAAAATACAAATTTTTTTTTTTTTTTGGTTCTTCCCCCACTTTTTTCATAATACCCACGTTTAAAGCAATTTTGGAACCCGGAATCGTGTTCAGCGGGCAAAAATACATTGAAAACCATTCCGATATCAAAAATTACAAAAAAAAAATTTTTTGGGTATTTACCCAATTTTTTTCAAAATTCTTCATTTTTTTTGTCTTTTGCATATTATAAAACGTTTGAGTCTTTAATTTAACATGTCATTCAAGTTAAACACGTTGAACTTTAAAGTTGACGATAAGACACGTCAATTTAAAGAGAAAAAAAAATTTTTTGTAATGTTTTACAATTTTTTATACAGACTTTTTTCTAGAAATCTAAAAAATGCTGTGTTTTTGGGACAATTTACAACCGTAGAAAAAAGAAAAATCGAGTTTTAAAAAATCGTTGACCAGAAATCTTAAAATCTTTCGGTTTCGAAAACTTCAATTGAAAGCACTTTGAATTTAAAAAACCATAACTTTGTCAAAAATTAAAATATTTTTATTTTTTAAACTATAGAGTGACTCGCAAATTTCGTCAACTTTATGGACAAGTTTTATTGAAGAATAAATTAATAATGATTTATTTTTTATAACAAATATAAACTTAATGATTTTTTTGAGTAAGATTTGCAAAAACAGCAAAATATAGAGAGAAAATTAATATAATTTAGCAAATATGAAGAATTAGATGTGAGTTTTTCAACATTCAAAATGGCGGATCCAATATGACGGACGAAATTTTGAAAAGTTGAGCTAAACTTATGAAAATTTCTATACCTGGGGGTTTTTGGGGTCGCTGATTACGAATCCGATGACAGTTTTTCAAAATTTTTAAAAATTCAAAATGTCGGATCCAATATGGCGAATGATTTTTTTTAAAAATTGATCCGATTTGCATGAAACTCGTTACTCAGGGGTTTTAGGGGTCGCTGATTACGAATCTCATGCTGGTGTTAAAAAATTCAAAATGGCGGATCCAATATGGCGAACGATTTTTTTCTAAATTGATCCGATTTGCATGAAACTCGTTACTCAGGGGTTTTAGGGGTCGCTGATTACGAATCTAATGTCGGTTTTATAAAATTCAAAATGGCGGATCCAATATGGCGAACGATTTTTTTCTAAATTGATCCGATTTGCATGAAACTCGTTACTCAGGGGTTTTAGGGGTCGCTGATTACGAATCTAATGTTGGTTTTAAAAAATTCAAAATGGCGGATCCAATATGGCGGACGATATTTTTTAAATTTATTCGATTTGCATGAAACCCGTTACTCGGGGGTTTTAGGGGTCGCTGATTACGAATCTAATGTCAGCTTTGCTGAAATTTTTGTCAGGCGTTAAAAATTTACCAAAAATGTATCTAAAAAAGGAAAAATGAATAATTTCGGATATGATAAAAGTTGAAAGTCTATTAAAGAATGTGCCGAGGATGAAAGGTGATCATCAGAGAGGGAATTCCTGGTATTAAAGTTAAAAAAAAAGAGAAGGGGTGGGGTGTATGTATATATATATACTATATATATAGAGGTATAAGATATTGGGTTAGTTTTTTGCCAAGTTTCTAGTTTCCTCAGTGGTCAATGAGGACTTGTGCCCGTAGAAATGCAACTAGCTACCACACGTTCTAGATATATAGAGTGAGAGACACACAACCGATGACGACGTCGTAGGTGTCACCTTCCGGGACGGAATTTGTCCGCTTTCCCAGAGCCAATGCCATGAGCTCCTTTCCTGATTCCCTCCCCTCCTCTCCCTTTTTTCCTCTCTTTCAATTCTCCTCGTGCATCCCTCGATTTCCCCCCTAACCCCCTTTGCCACTCTTCCTTCACAACCATTTTTACACACTTCCTTTAGACACATACGAGATGAGGTCTCATACTTACAATATATATATACGCGACTCTCGCGTAAGTTCTGCGGGAAAACCAGAATGAAGCTCCAAGAAATAGAGACGGAAAGAGAGTGAGTTAGCTCTCTGCTCTTGGATATGAGCAACATTCTTAAGAGTGAATCTGTAATATAGAAACTGTCTCTTTGAACTTGTCACAGAGAGTAGATAGAATTTAGGAAAATTTTATTTTGCGCGAAGAAAGAATTTTTTTTTTATTAAAATGATTCTTTACTCGAATGTTTATTTTAGAAAATATATTGAGTTCTTAATTAATAGGTTCTTCATTTATTAACTGTGGGTTAATTTTTTCTTACTGAATTTTAAATCAGAAGATAATTCAGTGTGTTTAGGATCGGAGAAAAGTTTGTTTTGCGCATGCGCGAACTGACGTCACAGTTATGGCGTCTGGTAGCGTCAATTCGTCAGTTGTACACCTCGCAAATTTAAACATGAATTTCTTTTAGAATTGTGATTCATTTATTAAAAACGATGGAATAATGAAAAATTCACTTGTGAATAAATTCAACCATAAGGGTTTTAAACGAAATTATTTAAACAATTTTCTGTTAACAGCGAATCAAATAAATATATGTGTTGTTCTGACAGTTGACCGAATTTCTTAAAATTCAACATTTTTTCTTCTCTTGTATGGCATGAAGGTTCATTATTTTTGTGCTCTTCAAAAATAATTTACTTATTTAATAGTCTCCACCCTTTGGTAAAAAATCTAAAATTATGGAAAATTAGCAAAAATTCAAAAAACCGAATTTCTTAAAATTCAACATTTTTTCTTCCTTTTTATAGCACTAAGCCTAGTTATTTTTGTGCTTTTCAAAAATACTTTACTTTCTTAATAGTCTCTACCATTTGGTAAAAAATAAAAAATTATGGAAAATTAGCAAAAATTCAAAAAACCGAATTTCTTAAAATTCAACATTTTTCCTTCTTTTTTATGGCATTTAGCTTCATTATTTTTGTGCTCTTGGAAAATACTTTACTTATTAAAATGTCTCCACTCTTTGGTGAAAAATCTATAATGATCCAAAATTATCAAAAATTCAAAAATCCGAATTT